TTGTTCATTAACATCCACCACAACATAAAAGAAATCTCTTCAAATACGTATTGTTAATGTAATGGTTTGCTTTCATTTGATTATGTCTAACTCTTAATTTAAGTTTCATATAATTAGTTTGTGGTTAGTGAATATCATACTAACAAAAACTCTGAATCGAAAGTCATTAAGAAGTTAATTAAGAAGTTAATTTCAACAGTACCATTGTTAAAATAAAAAAGGGAAACATGTAAAGTTACAAGAAACATAAATGTGAAACAGATCGCCCACTTTCAAAATCTTCGTTAGAATAGTTTTGAATATGTAAGTGCGAAAGGCAACTGGACTGTTTTAATATGAAAGGAGGAAATTGCATCACATGGTCTACTTAAAATAATATTCCCAAACGGAAAAGGGGCAAACGAACAAAAGCGATGTTTCTCCATTTCTGATCCGTTTACCGACTCTTGGCCAAGAAGAGCTTCATTCTTCTTTTAAAGCTCTCCGTCATAAAGAATAATTATAACACCACTGATATATCACTTGCATGTGTTTCTATTTGTGCTCTTTGTCACATCTGGTATCCTATTCAGAGATCTGACCCCCAGAAACAACTGGATTTATCCATTCTCATAGACTCCCGTCCGTCTCTTTTTCCTAAATCCCTTCATTTTTTCTTATTTCGCCCCAAATATCACCCGTTTCCTAACGGAAAATGTGCAGTTGTCATTATTTCTTAAATTGATTACAATTTGTTTTCTCAGTATCATTTCATGTTGTTCATACGATGTGATCTCATTGTTAACTCCCACGTAACTTGTCTAGAATCGCAAATTCAATTGTACGTGTTGTGAAAGGAAACAATTTGTTATTCCCCCAAGAAATGGCGGTCAAACAATCTCGAACAATTCTTTCGTTATGTTTCTTTTATTCGCAATACAAGCAGCATCCGGCAATACATCGGTGAATTGTCGCCACTGTCGACATAGATGGAGTTAGAATTAAGAAGTGGATGGAAAATGATAGGCAAGTGATCTATTTTCTTCTGTAAAATGATATTTGAATGCTTTGATATGCCAAGCGAGTCATTCTTCGTTTCCAAATTTAGGGTTGCAATGTGGGGGCCAGGTTGAACAGTGTTTTTGCCAAAAAAAAAATCCACCCGAGAACTAATCTGTGATTAGGGATTCATCATTCTCCATATCTGTCGCATTGTTTCGTCTGAGGTTGCCTGAGATAATGGACACAGTTTCTTTTTACATGTGTTTGTGAGGGTTCAATATGGGTTGAAAAATATGTCATCGTATCATTTCGAACATTTTTTAAATTGCATAGTTTACAATGTATACGTGTAAGTGATTGTTTTAGTTCGGAATGATATCCTTTGTAAGGGTGTCATGCCAATAAAGAAACTAAGTAAGTTGAAATACCCTGGTAAATTACTAAATAATAACTAAATGTGTTATGCAGAACATTCATCGAATAGAAAAGTACATGAATGGATAAATGTTACAATAGATTTAGATTTAAATTTAGAGAGAGAGAGAGAGAGAGAAAAAAAAAATACTGCGGTCAAAACTTCTAATTACTGATGGACCCAAATGCACTTTTTCAAATCCACGCATCAAATAATTAGAACACGAACACACATTTTTAAATCTTCCTTCAAAAATAATCTTCTCATGCCACGAGTATGGAACAAATTTACAATCGGAAAACAGATACACGATGAATCTGTACAAATATAATTACAATGGAGAATTGGATTTGACAGCAAATTATTCACTTATGGTCCGAGTGTGGCCATTAGCTAGACTCTACAAACCTATGCAACAAGCTCTCAACAAAAAGGGAGAGGGGTGTATACATGTAGAGAGATGTAGAGAGAGAAAGAAAGAGAGAGAGAGAGAGAGAGAGATAGGGGACAGGTGGAGACAAAGACACAGAAATAGAAAAGAGAAGAGAGAGAGAGAGAGAGGAGAGAGAGAGAGAGAGAGAGAGGAGAGAGAGAGGGACAGACAGACAGATATACAGATATACATGTATATATAAAGAGGAGGGGGCAGAAGCAGAGATGGAGATACAGAGTGAAAAACAGATGGAGATGAAATGTTATATTTTACAAAGATAAGAGAGGAAAGTGAGCAAAATATCCTAGTTGGAAAATAAGGAAGAGAAAAATGCAAGGGAGAAGGGGGTAGGGGGGGGGGGGTTAAAAAATGAGAGTAATGAATAAAATAATAATAATATCCCGCTTTTATATAGCGCTTTACAGATATACTATTACCCCCGAGGAAGGAAAGGAAACAAAATGGGGGAAACCAAAAGGTAAAAGAAAAAGAAAAGAAAATTAGAGAAAACAAGACAAAACAAATACAGATGGGTTTGAAGTACCTTTTCAAGAGTAAGTATGTAATATTTCACACCAAAAAACAACAAATCTGACAATTAGTATTTACAAATAAATAAACTTTCCTAAATATAGACAAATGAATACAAAATTTACACATTGCAAAACAGATACATATAGATACATGTAGCAAAATAGCTTGTCATCAGTTTGTGATATAAATGCTCCTGTATTTAAATTCCTTTCACACTCCAGTAGCATATGCTTGCAAACTGAGAAGAAAAACACGCCTCAGATCACCCCTCACCCCCCCCCCCCCCCCCAAAGACATAAGAAATGCTTTCTCAAATTATCTTTGTAAGAATATGTATTTCTACCTCAGTTTGTGTCTCTCACATTATACGAGTTCAGAAACCCAACTTCCTGTAATGCATGCAATTCAATGCTATACAAACAGGGCAGCATTCATCATGTCTATTCTCTTGTGTGTTTTAAATAGACCAAAGAAAGCATGACCAAGTCTTATCAATCAACAACCCAGAATAAAACAAAGACCATGTAAACCTCTTTCTTTCTTTCATATGGTCATCAACTTCTGTTGAAAGTTGTCACAACGTACCATACAGCACTGATTATTTGCAGAAGAAATTAGGTCACGGCCCATCGGAGAGTACGCTGATTTAGAGCAACACGCCCTAGATATATTCAAAATCATCAACCAGAGTGCAAGTAAACATACTTGAGACTAATTTGTGCATACTTTTCTTATTACAGCTGTCAAACAAACATGAATACTGTGAAAGAATTGACCCAGTTTTGATTCCTTGAAACCAGCGCAACGCCAGAGGCTTGTAAAAGTGATGTGTTATTGATTCAAGACTCATTTCCTCAATGAAACTATTTGGAATGTTGAGAGATCTTACAGGGAGAAAGTCAGAGTAATAGCCCTAAGCTTGGTGAAATAGCACTTTCCTATTTTATTTGTATATTTCAAGGGAGTAGATGTCCAATTTCCCATCAGAGAAATCAACAAGTAGTTAACTACTGTATTCAATCATTTCAAGGGAGAGTTCATTCCTTTAAAAGAACAATATACAATGATTACAATGTTGGACTGATTATGAAAATTATCATGAACTAGCACTTGATTCTTCTTGGTTTTTGCTTGCACCTTCAAATACACAAATTATAGGAAAATGCAAGCAAAAAACTAGTAAAGTATTTTATTTGTATATTTCAAGGGAGTAGACATCCTATCTCCCATCAAAGAAATCAACAAGTAGTTAACTACCGGTACTGTATTCAATAATTTCAAGGAAGAGTTCATTCTTTTAAAAGAACAATATACCGGTACAATGATAACAATGTTGGATTGATTATGAAAATTATCATGAACTTAGCAGTTGATTCTTCTTGGTTTTTGCTTGCACCTTCTAAAACACAAATTACATGAAAATGCATGAAAAAGGCTAGTAAAGTCATTGCTAGTATTCAGCCAATTATGCAATAGCCTAATCAAAGTTTTGAATATTTTGGTTCCTTCTAAACCTAGGTTACCAAAGACCATATTATTATATACTCAATTTGGAACAAGGGTAAACAAATTCCTGTCTAGAAGCCTGGTTTTTTACGCTCTGTGATTTCAGCATTTTAAATTTTACAGAAATTTAGATAATACTCTTTCTATCACACACCCACAGAATCACAAGAACAAAGGCTGTATCACAAAGCACGATTTCTTAGTAGTAGAGCAGAGGTCTTGTAACTGGGAGGTCCCGGGTTTGAAACCGAATCGATGTGCTAGTGCCCTTTGGTAAGGCATTAATCCTCATTACCATGTCCCTCGGAGAGGACTTAAAGCTATCGGTCCCCTGGTAATTTACTTACAAGCATACACATGCTTTCTTAGCAGTCAGGTAAAACAAAAAAACAAACAAAGAATTTTACAGAAATTGGAATAATACACTTTCTATTCCACCTCCACAGAATCACAAGAGCAAAGGCTGTATAACAACCATTATTTATGGTAAAATGAGATATTATTAATGATAGAAAAAATAGCATCATTTGTATCTTGTGGTCTGTCCAGTTAAAACTAAATGATCAGAGCACTTTATAGATTGTCCCAAGAAATACTGATGATGAAAACCTCTTGTAAAGCATACTTGCCAACCTTTCACAGCAAAAATTATGAATCTCTCAAGACAAAATTAAGAAATGCAGTCTATTTTTTTTCACACAGAATATTTCAGAAAAAGAGAGGAATCTAGGGTTCAAAACAGTAGCTTGAAGACCAAAAAATAAGAATCATGCCTCCCAAATAGGAATGGTTGGCAGCTATGATATAGAATTGGTATCTGCCTCTGCTGGGCGGTCATGGTACTTGCTCTACTTGCTTAGTTTCTTTGTTTTACCCGACTATTAGAAATCATGTGTATGCTTTTGTATAAGCAACCAGGGGACCTATAGCTTTAAGTCCTCTCTGAGGGACTTGGTAATGAGGATTGATGCCTTACCAAAGGGCACTAGCACATCGATTTGGTTTTGAACCTGTGACCTCCCAGTTACGAGTCAACTGGGGGTGTTTCACAAAGCCTTTTTTCAATGACAAATGACAAATATCAGTGACAAATCTGCTGATAACCAATCAAAAGCAAGGATTTCAGTAGCTTATAACAAAAACTGTCATTGGTCACTGATGACAAGTTTTGTGAAATGGGTCACAGGTCTACCACTGAGCCATCATGCCTCATTTGTGGATTTTATCTCATGGTAGAATTAGAGCCGGGTTTGAGGAGGTTGAGGTTGAAGAGGATGGAGCGGAAGTTGAGGGCCAGGAAGGCATTCTCCTGGCACTCCCTGGATCTGGACATCTCCTGGATGGTGAAGGAGGTACCAGAGGAGTCAAACAGATGCTTGTTGGTCCTGTGTGAGTTGAGACAGAGGGAGAGCAAGGGAGGGAGAGAGAGAGAGAGAGAGATAGAGAGATAGAGAGAGAGAGAGAGAGAGAGAGAGGGAGGGAGGGAGGGAGGGAGGGAGAGAGGAGAGGGGAAGGAGAGAGATGAACAAAATCAAAGAGATAAAAAGAGACAGTCAGACATATAAATTGATTAATTTGTGTGTAGAGAGTGAGAGAGAGGGAGAGAGAGAGAGAGAGAGATAGAGAGATAGAGAGAGAGAGAGAGAGATAGAGAGAGAGAGAGAGAGGGAGGGAGGGAGAGAGGAGAAGGAGAGAGATAAACAAAATCAAAGAGATAAAAAGAGACAGTCAGACATATACATTAATTAATTTGTGTGCAGAGAGTGAGAGAGAGGGGGGGGGGGGGAGGGGAGGGGAAGAGAGAAATGGAGAGTTGTTAGATATATAAGTTTACATCTAATCATTATCGACATAGAAATCTAACCAAAATATGATAACAATTATCATATTTTAGTTATCCAGTGGTCATTTAAAAACATTATGATTAAAGGGCAAAGAACTAAACTATGAATTATAAACACGAGTGGATGAATGTATGATGCTATACATGGCCTACCAGTCTCAAATGAAAGGTCATAAAAACAACAATTAACAGTTGATACAAAATGGCTCTCTCCATTTTCCTTTCAATAGTCAAGACTATAAATTACATGGAGCTTTTAAAACTAGCCTGGAACTAAAATTATTAATGACCTCATGAGCATTTGTTCAAAGAAGTCATTTTTGAGGGAGTGGCTGGTTTATGCAGTTGATAAGATTAAGAGTGAATCTACTGTTGATACGTGTATCTAGTGATTCAGAAGAAACCGCAGCAGTTGCTGAAACTATATACCGATAGTAGATTTCTAGGATCTGTTCACACTCGGCCAGTGTATGTGTTACTTTTTGAAAATGTAGCTGCTGAAATTATCAAACAATGTCATGAAGAGCACTGGGGATAATCCTTAGTCTCTTTGACTTTCCATGACAAAGTTGGGGGTTCAAAGCTCGGCTTGCCCTGGACCCTGTCGTAAGAAGAGTTGCGATTAATCCAAAGTGATATAAATCAAAACTCTGTACATAAAACTAAAAGATAGGTAATTTGGATCATTCTAAATAGACTTTCCATGATGCAGGCCCAGATGTTGCACTCTTAGACAAGGCAATTAATCTAGAATTGTTACTCTGGCACCAGGGCATGTGCCATGTGAATGTTTCAATAGTAGAGAGAGTGAATGAACTCACTGCACTTGTGAAGTAAATTACTACACTGTAAGCCTGAGTGTGAACAGGATAAAGTGAACTCCATGACCTTGAAGAAGTGGACTACCAATAAAACTTTTTGTTTGTAGACATTAATGTGAACAGAGCATGCAGTATGGATTAAATGCCCTAGATAAGGTAGAACATTGTTTGTAAGTGTGAATACATCATGCTGAGTTACTCCATGCCCAAAATAAAGACCACCAAACAGAGTTTGAACACATGTCCCGAGGGGGTTAGCCGGTTACATATCTTTGTATGAAACTTGAATGTGGACACAGTCTGTATAATGAACTCAATGCCCTAGAGGGGACAGACTAGTGAGACTACCATTCTTCAATTTGAGTCTGAGTGTGAACATGGCCTTAAAGAGGGGAGCAATGCCCTAGAGGGGATGTAAGCTGAGATGTGAACAAGGCCTGCACACCAAACTCCATGTCCAAGAAGGGACAAATACATCGTTAATAAGCTTGTGAATGTGAATGTGAATGTGAATAGGGCATGAGGTGTTAACTCAATGCCCTAGAAGCGAGATAAGCCAAAGTGCATACAAGGCATGCACACTGAACTCCATGACAAATGCATTACAAAGCCGAGTGTGAATAGGGCATTGAGAGTGAACTTCATGCCCTGCATATTGAACTCCATGACAAACGCATTATAAAGCCGAGTGTGAATAGGGCAGAGAGAGAGAGAGAGAGAGAGAGTGAACCTGATGCCCTGGGGAGGGGGAGACTACTAATCCTGAACAGGAGGGGTGTCTGATTGAATTTGTAGTGAGCAGGAAAACAATCCATTCATGTCCCACACTCACTGCTGGGGATGTTGGACTTTACAGTTATTGGTACACGAAAAGTGTTTGGTGGACGGAAAGAGACAAGAATGGGCTCTTTCCCACTAACATGAGGTCTGGAATTCTTGACCTCTCCTAAGAAGAGAGAAAACTATGATGAGCTAAACTTAAAGCCCCACTGTACTATTTAAAGCTACTTGTGCCCTCTATAAGCCAACAATGCCTAAGCGCTACCTGTTGATCCCCCATGATGCTCATTTTCTTATGCTAATTGAGAGCTGATTTGATGAGATAACCAACTGCCAGTGACCTTGCAGGGAGGATTAATCCTCCATGCCAAACTAGTGCAGAGGGGCTTTAAGTTCAACTGAGTAAGAGAACATACAATGTCTTGCTATCAACATTGGACACTTTCTTTTACATTTTAGAGTTGGCACTGACAACATATTTTATGCATATTCCAGTCAATTTCGGGGTAGTCCATTTCAAAATTCCTCAATATTGTTCCAACAGTTTTAAACCTTCTTATCTTAAGTGCGTGATGATAATTTTTAAGCCAATTCCTCTACCTGCTTCCTCATTTTGTTCAGGATGTTTCTGTTGTGCCAAATAATGATGATTTATCATCTTTGAAATAGTTGAACTTAGCATGACTGCAGTATTTTGAGGACAAACAATTCAAAGTAGTTCATGTCCTTACGAAGCTGGTGTAAATGGCCTCAAAACCAAAGGATAACAACTTTCACATTTGATTAAAATAATCACATCAAGTATGTCTCATTTAATCTTGGGAAGATATTTTAGGCAATTCATGAATCATGACTGATATTAATGGAAGTCTTTGCGGTTTTCACACAAATAATCCCAGACTTTATTTTTATGTTTTAAAAATACCATTCATGATTATAAACAACGTATGCACTTTTGATCACGCACGAGCAAGCAACATTTTCAATCACTGTCAATAAAGAAATGCTTCACAGGCGTCAAGTAAGACTCGAGGTATGCAGTTAACTCTGCCTAACCGGAAGTCGGACAAGTCAAATTTCCTCAACGTCAAATTTTTTAATTTTTTTAAAACCAAACTATGCAAAACATGTGTATTTTTCACCTCCTTAGTCAATGTGGCATAAATTGAACTATTTTTAGCAGTCCCAAAAGATTTAACTTATGCAGAGTCCACTGTACATGATATAACAAAACCAATGTTATTAGATGCAAAAGTGAAAAGTGTGTTTATGGCACATTGTTTTTTGTAAAAATAAAATATACAAGGAACTTCAGATCATCTCCAGTGAGGACAAACTTTCTTCTTTAATATAAATAAAATCATTCTGTCAATTAACAAATGTTATTACAATCTCAATAAAGGTTTCGTTTTTTCCTCTTTGTCATCTATTTCTCCTCCTTTTTCCCAATACTCCTTCTCTATACAACACTAACAACAACAAAGAATGAAAGGACTGCCTGAATAATTGAATGACCTTAATCTCACACTACGCATGTCTCTTCAATCACAAATACTTCATAGGGCCGACAAAGCAGACAGAATCTTTGTATCTGCCACTAGGGGGAGCTCTTTCATACATCAAACCAGATGGTATGGGTCCCAATGTATTTTTTCCCTATTTTCGTTTGTCAAAACAACAGTGCATCAGTTGTATGCAGGACAATAAAGTAGATATGAATATATCTGTGTATGGAAACCAAAAAGTATAAAAAAAGAAAAGGAAAAAGAAAAAGGTTATATTTTGTCTCATAGTCCCTGGAGAAATAAGTATGCAATGTGTTTCATTTTGTTCAAGTGCATGCCTCTTATTCTATCTATATATACTGACTGATAACTGACTCAGATGGTTAAATCTTCTACTTTTACTGATGAAAGAGTAAATGGTTTGAACATTCGTTTACATATTAGCATGATATTTATTGCAGCTCTCACCCCCAAAAGAGGAAAATCCTTTTATAAAAAGTAATAACACAAAAACCTATTAAAGTTATTACTTTTTTAAAAATTAACTTTGTCAATAAAGCGTTTATGATTAAATCAAATGATTTCATCATACAGTTATTTTTAATATCTACTCATCTACTCACTTGACTTTGGAAAGTTTTTGGAGGATGATGCTTAATTTCTCGACCACCTTGATATCCATCCCCGTTGAACTCAAGAGGGCAGCACATGACTTGAACCAGACGTCGTTGCAACAGCTGTACAGGAACTGCTGCATGAAAACTAGAGCAGTAAAAACAAAAGAAATATGTGTTTACTTGTCACATTGAGATACTTCTCCACATCTTGTCTACATTTTATTATGGCAAGATGAATTAAAGAAATTTCATTCCACTGAATTAAAGAAATAGATAATTCTACATTTTTTATTAATGAAGGGAAGTAATACAAATTTGAACAGATAACCACATGAATGTCTCAAACCATGCTATTCAGTTTCTGCAAAGATAAACATTAAATAATACTGTATATCAAAATAATAATTGTTAAATCAAAACATCAAAAGCATTAACAACAAAAAATACAAAAAGAGTGTATTGCTAGCATGTCAGGTGAGTTTACTGGAATTAAAGTAATTAAGAATAGAGTGAAGAGCCTTATGAGAAAAATAAAATGAAGAAATTAAGGCCTTCTGTTTTGTTAATGTGTCACACTAACTGTTATAAACAGTATCACAACAAGATGATTCTACATTATTTAATTAAACCTTCCTGCACCTCACAACACACAAGTACTGAAAACAGCAACGGTATTTAAAAAAAAAATAATGAAGTTTTCCATGTCGCTATGACTGTGGTGGTTTTTATAAATCTCTCTTATCCTCCTCACTTTCGGTCATGCGCATAATTAACATACATGAATATGTTTAAGGTTCGTGACTACATTCAATAGATAACAACTCACTTGATTCCATAGACATCTGTAGGAAGATATCCACAGCACAGCCCGTGATAGCTCTGTTACTAGCTTTGAGATGAGAGAGGATGAGGGGTGTGGCCTGGTAGCGAAGGTACAACTCTTTGGCTCTGTCATCTTTGAGGTCACACCGGACAACATCAAAGACATTTGCCAAGTAGTCCACTAAAGATAATAATAATAATAATAATATTTATAAAGCGCAACATATCCATCTCTACAGATGCTCAAGGGGCATACAAATAAGATAAGACAAATTAATATTTAACATACTTAAGATTAAAGAAATGTTAACATTAGATTAGATCACACAACTTCATAGTGCCATGGTACATACAATGTGGCACAGTGTGATAGATGGAATTAAAGATTTTTGAAAGTTGGTAGATGTCTTTCACTCAGTATTTCAGCATGGTGAGGAAGCTTCTGAGAGAAGATTCTTCTAATAATCGTGGAAAATAGCTGATCAGGGGCTGTCTTATAAAGAGTTGCAATTGATCCGAATCAATCGCAAGTCCTTCAGTCAATTTAACAGTCTCCTATCTCTTATGCACATAGTTGCGAAAGTTGCGCTTAATCAAAACTTGTTATAAGATGGGGCCTGGAACAATAAGAACGTTGAGTCCTTGATGGAATTTGAGAGGTAGCATTGTATATGAAGATCAGCATCGTTTGAAGGATCTCTTCTTTTGTAGGAATATCAGTACACAGCATCAAGTTTAAATTTTGTTTGTAACAAACACTTGGGCGGTGGGCCATTTAGACTGTATTCAGGAGAAAACCCATAATTGCATTCATTCAGCATTAGGTCTCAGGATCGAAAACCAAGACCATGACATCAAAGACACTGGAAATCAAAACTGGTCTCTCTTCATCACTGACTGTTCTTTGTGACAATGCTACTCCTAAAGACAGGAGCCATTGTTGTTTTGTTCCAACCAGGCCAACATACACCATGGGTGTTATAACCGTTCTCAAAAATAATAATAATAATAATAGGTCACATTTATAATGCGCCTAATACTTTGTTTCGAGGCACAACACATATTATTACCCTGCTCATCGGATTCAGGCTCACCCGCAACGCAATTTAGGCACATTTTCCACTCCCTGGGGAGCAAAGACAATATACAAGTGAGATATATCTAAGATTTACCCTGTGTGATAGTCCTCATAATGATGAGAGAGGAGAGGAAACGGATGTGGAGGTTGGCACTCTTGAAGAAGATGGCCGACTTGGGTTTCTCCGTCTGAGCAGCAGGATCAGGGCTGGTCCGATCTCGATCCGAGGCAAACCTCACCACCTGAGGGCGGTACAACTCATCACCAAGACGACGGTACGTCGATGACAGACTCACCTGCTGTAATATTCATAAAAAGAACTGAATTACAGCTCTTTTCTTTTCCTTAAGGCAAATGCATATATCTTGAATGAAAGTAGCCATGGATCGATGTTTACATGAAGTGTATAGATTTCACAAATAAAATCACTGATTAAACTGTAAATTAAAGGGGTAAAGGTGGTAACTATCCAATAAAATGGTAAGTTAACAAAAATATCATGCTACATACTATAAGCAAACGGCTTTTTACACTGAAGGTTTACTTATTATACCCTTCCCGACCAGTAGAGAGATATGGAAAGGGTGACATGGAAGTCTGTGGAAAATAAAAATGAAATTCAGAAAGAACAGTAAACCCTTTGCCACCCCTCCCTTCTTCTATCAGTATCTGTTCTATCTGTACCTGTTTATCTGATGACTGCAGGTGTAGGAGAGACCAGTAGATGAATTGAAGACAAGGAAGATGTAACTTGGCAGCTTGAGATGGAAGCTGCCCAAGGACTTCAACTAGAGCTGGTAAAATCTGTATGGATCAAGCAACATAGAACAGAGATTATTCTCTAAGAGTATCGAATGGAAATAATCCATTGAACATATGCTGTGTAACGCAGTCCTCATTGATTGAATAATTGCTGATAATTCATGAAATACCTGAAATCAACCATTTATTGAAATCTGATGCATTTATTTAGATCTGGGCCTCATCTTACAAAGAGTTGATATCAATCGCAACTTATTTGCGATTGATATCAATCGCAACTATGTACATAAGAGATAGGAGACTGCAAACTTGGGATTGATTGGAGGACTTACGATTGATTTGGATCAATCGCAATTCTTTGTAAGACAAGGCCCTGATCATCACTGTAATTTGTTATTATTATTATGTTATGGCATCACCTGTTCTTGGGAGGGAATAGCTAACTGAATCACTGTGACCCTTAGGTCTCTCCTCCTGGTATAATGATTGGGGTTTTTCCCCCTCCTCTTATCATCGAGATCATTTCTGATACCACTTTCCTCAACCTAAAACACAATGTGCCATCTCAAGCACAAAGCATAATGATGGTGAAAAAAATCCCTTTGCATAAACAGAAATCTGTGTCACACATTCAAATTGAACTAAATCATGTAAATTTGTCATGAGTAGAAGAACAAGGAGATATGGAAAAGGTTGAAAATGTGGACAGAAACTACAACAACAACCAACAACAACAACAATACATACACACACAAAAAAGAAAAAGAAAAAAAGAGGAGAAGTAAATGACAGGGAAATATTTAAGTTTGGCTTGTACATCTTACCCTAATACATCTGTCATGTGTAAGCGCTGGTGAAGGCATGGCTTCTAGAGGCTTTGAAGGATCGTCAGAGTAGTGTCTTAGATGAACCTCACTCACCCATTCTAGGAGTATTCCTAATGCATCATACAGTCCAGAGGATTGCTGAAGAAAAGAAAAATCATATAATAATAAATTAATCACTAATTGAAATTATTGATTGAGTGACTAACTACTGAAGACTGAGCGTGAGAATAGTTGATATGCAACTCTTTCGATGCATTTGAATGTTAGGCTTCCTGGAAAAAGTTTCAATTATTGCATCTTTGGATGAATGTTTCACGAAAATCCAGGTGTTAACTTGTTTATGGTAGGAAGGAAATCTTTGAATCTGTAGCCTAGCTAGAGTCGGGGTAACATTGGACCACCTTGAGCATCTTGCATGGTGGATATGTGCACTATAAAAATCATAATCCAATATATTTCAATATAATTATATACAAATATCTAGTGTTAGTGTTCTAACATCTACAATACTGGCTAATCACAAATAAAATACCATGCAATAAGTTTGAATGAGTTCTCTTCAGGCAAGCTCCAATATCAGCTTTCATCTTCAATGTATTTAAAAGCAGTAGCATTGTAACCCAGTATCCTTCTACTCCCCTATCAATAAGCATACAAAAAGTGATAGGTATTTAAAATTCTCATCCCAAAGTGCCTACAAGAAAGGCGTATAAGGATATCAGCAGAATTAAATGTACTGGTATGTATCTCTTTTGCACAAGAGAAGAATATTTGCAGGATTATACCGTTTTTCAACAAGAACATATGCTTCAATAGCTTCTTGCAGAAAAGTGATATCTGCATAATCATGCTCCTCTTTGTAAGAGCAAGGAACAAGCCTCACAAGGACTCAAGGAATACCTTTGTGCTTCTTGACATCACACTTTTCTGCGCTGACCCCTCTACCCGCCGCTTGACAGATTCAACCTTAGCCTTGACCGCCATGCTCTCTTGGTCTCTCTGTCGACTGATCAGTTCCTGCTTCCTCAGCAGGTTGGTCAAGCGACTCTGAAGACCGATGGCTTGAGATTCAAGCTTCTTGTTCTGTTCTTCGACCTTGTCAAGCTACCATGCAAGGATAATCATAAATAAAGTTATCTTAGAGAGTGATAACTTATAAATTATACTGTATCCAATAATTTGTTACTATTGCTAGTGTAACATAGAGAATTGAGCATACAGACTAGAGAATAGGTATCATATTCACAAAAAGATGTAAAAAAAACCTTATAAGTTATGTGCAATATGCTATATTCACAGCTATTTTTAGTAAACAAGAACAAATCTCATTTATTGATCCAGTAGTCAGATGAAACTAGATAAATACAGTATATATGAAATATGGCTCGGGTAATCATGTAACCCCAAATCAGTTTCAAATCCATGTAAAGAGAGATTACAGTTTATTTATCTACATATTCATTTACTGTTTGTTTAAGCAGGGTTGCCTTTTCAGTTAACAAACTGTTATCCCTGAGGGCTCTGCACAATAAAAAAAAACATATACAAAATATTACAGACTTAATAAGTACAAATTAAACACATAAATAACACAATTATGAAAACAAAGATAAATAATAAAGAAGAAATATTATGAATACAAATATTGTAAAGTGTAACTTATTAACTTGAGAGGGATCAGAGCAGACTACAGTTTAAGTAGATCCTAAAACAGCTTATACTGACCTGATTTCTTAATCCATCATTGGCCTGCTTCAGGGTATCAAATGATTCCTTCTGTCTCTTGCTCTCTTTAGTTCTCTCTCTGATGGTGTCCTCAAGCTCTTTCACCTGCTTCCTGTGCTCCTGATATTAAAGCAAAATGTTTTTTTTCATCCCTTATGCAAAAACATCATTCATCGTCGTCAAAGACATCATCATCATTATCATCATCATGATTAACACATATTTATATAATATTGACTGGCCTTGAGGGAGATACCACATATATTGCCCAAACTAGACTCATATTGCCCCGAGTCAAAGACGAGGGCAATATGGGTGTACTTAGGCTTTTTCATGAGAGGGTAATATGGTCTTATATTTACTGATTAGCTCTTTTAGAATTACAACAAGTGTAATATGATTTTGTAAAACCACTGCTTAGACGTCTGGTATGGGTAATAATACAAATTATCAAACTTGATTTCTTAGGGTATACTATTGTCATTACTAGCAAATGACACACATAAACCTTTTTTAAAAATTACATTTAATGCTAACAGAATAACCTTCGGTTTGCATTATTTTATTTCGAAAAAGATTTATCAATAATCAAGAGTACTCCAGACTTCAGAGAGGACATAAGAAGATATTATAGACACCTCTTCCAGTTTATGCCATCTCTTGTTGAAATCTTTGTAAGCTTGATGGATGGATAAATTGTCAGTCTGAAGAGTTTCCTCCAGATTTTGAAGAGATTGTTCTCGCTTTTCTAATGCCTTCTCCCTCTCCTGTAGGGCAACGGTCTGCCTCTGTAAATTCAAAAGAAAAAGAACATGTATGTACTTAAGAATATATGAATAGTGATGAACAAACAAAGAAATGATGGTTCTTCAAAATCACCATAATCATCTGATGTACATGTACAGTGTATAACAAATCTGTGCAGTTTTGGAAGCTACAGTATGTGCTTTTAAATAAAGGTGACAAAAAAAAAAGAAATTTCCAAGAGAAGGATTTTCCAGTGATGTCATGACGTTGCGTACTGTAATGCCAGTGATCACAGATTAGTGTAAAAATCTTTTCAAACGCTCCAAGACCGGCACCAAGGCCCTGTTTCATAAAACTTGTTATCAGTGACAAATGCTAAATTTCCGAGTCAAATTTGCTCTCAGCCAATCAAATTCTATGATTTCAGTAGCTTATAACAGTTATTGGAACTGGTTACTGCTAACATGTTTTATGAAACAGGGCCCAGAACAACATCAGACGGAACACATATTTACATTACCCCCATATGGTCAAGATCTTCTTGACTACCAATCATGTAGAAGTCGATTCTGAAGTGTGACCGGGCATTTTACGAGGTAGGAATCCAAACAGGTAATTGTGTCCAAGACAAACCTGAAGTTTGGAGCTGATGGTAACCAGCTCTGCATAAACAGCCTCAAACTGTCCAGATGGCTTGCCAGGGCTCCAGCTGACATCGTTGTCTCTGCTCCCTGCCTTATGATAGTTCTTCTGCGACCTGTGGGGACTGGTCATATGATCCCCATCAAGATCATCTTCCTCCTCGTCATCATCATCATCAAAATCATCGTCCATGCGATCATATGGATCATGTCTTCTCCCAAGACCCGAGCCATTGGAGGTCCCATCATCATAGGATGCTCCAACCTGGAGGGTCACATCTGGATCGGAAAGCGTTGCAAGGTCCTCAGACACTGACAGAAATCAACAGAAAGTAGAAATGAAGAAAAAAAATACAGAAAATAACCTACATGGAAAAATACACTCTGAATTTGATTGAAAAGATACGGATATAAAAGTATGAAACTACATCACAAGGACAGAATAAATTATAGTTGATATCAAGTTATTAAACATATGATATTGCATGATGATTGAGAATTAAACAACAGAATGAGGTTAGAACAATTTTTCAGAATATAGAATCATATTTATTATCCTTGCAAGAATATTGCCCTCAAATAACAACAAAGAGTCTCATAAGGTGAATTAATTTCATTGCATAAAATGAGATAAATTTCCTAATTAACTCTACAAATCACACTGACCTCATATAGAACAAAATGAGGTATTTGAGTGTATGTTTCTTTTGACAGAAATTCAAAAGTAGACTCATATCACAAAATATTTCATAAATTAAAAACTTACAAGTATGTCTGTCACGGTATCTCCCCTCCCTCATCATCCTCCGAAGCCTATCGTCTCTGTCTGTCCTCTGTGACGCATCTCCGAGCTGTTTACTACTAGCATTGATGATTTTACACATGTCCCTCAAAGCTCTGTTGTAATGCTTCCTCTCTTCGCTCATCAGCCGGCGGTTCGAGGGAGATGCATTCATATCTGCTGCCCTCTCTGGAGTTTGCTGTGAAGTCACTTCTGTGGATCATGAAATTCTCAATGACAGATCATTTTTCTCTAATCACAGAGAGATCTACATTTCAATACTGTAACAAAACGTTCCACTGTAGAAATGAATTCTGCCCCCTTTTTACATTCGTGATTGTTGTCATTCTTTTTAAAACAAACTTAAAATGGCCATGTAAGGCGGAATTCAGTATCTCTCTAGTTATACATTAATGGGATGGAATCGTTAGATTATACTGACTAACATCTTTAAGAAGCACCTTTAGGACTTGCTAATATAGATGTTAGATTTTCTCACAAAGATTTTGTGTCTTTATTTGTTATTGAATATTGTTTATTTTTGTAAGCAAAGGTCATTCAAGGCATTCTAGTAATTAATCACTCATTATTCCTGATTAAACTTTTTTTTATTGTATCCTCTTCTGCCAAGACTCTTACCATATCCTTGTTGAGTTCCAAGGTCTGGTATGGAAGACAGGTCATCAGAGAATAATCTCCCCTGGAATCGATCAAAATGGGAGAGAAGTCGAATGTCACTGAATCATTTCAAGAGACAACAATGCAATTATATCGCAAAGCAGCTAGCAGTAGCAGAGGCCTAAATACAGCTTCTTCTGTATTCTGAATTTCTTATTTCTTAAATTTAATCTAACTCTTGTAGCTAACTTAAAATAATGATAATACTAAGCCTAACTTATAGTATACGTTATAGTTTTAGATCCAGGTTTACTTATGAATTCATTAGTCCAATTAATTTCAAACTTGTGCATTTTTCTGTTATTCTCATTTTTCTGCTTTCATAAAAATGAACTTACAAGGTTTGGATTGGATTGCCCTTAAAGTAACCTCCGCCCTCTCTGCTTATAACTAAGTTGAGCCCTCGCTCATTATTAATGAAATACTCGCACCCTTGTCATGGTCGACACCTAAGTTATTGCCCGTTCATGCTCCATCGAGTGTGAGTGTGATACCCACTCACCAAATTTTCTGTCTCTTTCGTTTGTTAGCCTCTGATTTGGGTAAGGTCGAAAGAGACAGAAAATTCGGTCTACCACTCAACCACTGAGGAAGAAACAGGGCCATCGAATCATCACTGATGAATAACTTGAAAAACTATAGCGGAGTCTATAGCCAGGCAGAAATAATCTTTTCAGATTGGACAGCCTTATAAACGCGACAACAACAACAACAACAAATCAGCTCATTGCATGCAGCACACGTACAAGCGAAGTGAGCCGAGGTTCGACTCGGCCTAGGCCTAGGCCGACAGTTCAGGCGACACGCCAAGAGACGTTTTGCTATGATTTAGGCATATAGGGCGGCGAGTTTATCTGTGATTATGATAGCAAAAATTTACATAAATGAAATTGAATTATACTTGAAAACTCAATGTATAAAAAACACAATTATATTTACATAGTTCTGTTGATTAAGTTTTCGAGACATCTCACAACTGTCGATAAAGATAGAATTTAAAGATGGAATTCGTTGACAATTTTGATTTTGGTGCCACACAACAAGAACAGTCTATGTTCACGCTTTGGACATTAATTCAAAACTGAGCTAAATACATTTGAAGTCATTATAACTAAATGAAGAGAAAAAATATTATTCAAATACAAATAGTGCTCAAACAAAAAATAATTGGATTGAATTTATTCAAGTACAGGGTGAGGAATTCAGTTAGAAATAATTCAAAATATAAAATTACCAATAATAATGTCATAAGGGACTTGACTCAATCACAAAATTCTATTTGCATTTGAAGCTAGTAACCTAACTTTAACATGGCTGGGCTAAAGATCACATAGCGATTTTTTTCTCCATCGTAAATAACAATGACTCCTACAAGGTATTTTATGCAATTTTGATTTGCAACTTACTTTCTAGATATTTGTTGTTCATTTGCCATTAATCATTGTTGGTTGATCACGGTGGTTTTTTGTGCGTTTCTTGTGCTTGATGGGAATTAAGTAAATCCTTACTCAACTTACCACATTACATTAGATGATTATTTGAAAAAGCAAACTAAGCGTCTTGCTGCTGCTAACGATTGCCTTAAAAAAACAAGCAGGGTACCGATACTAGTGGAAACCCATTTTAATTGTTACAGTGTAATTATAGTAACTATTTTTTTAGGGGGGCCGGGGGGGGGGGGGGGGGTTAATGCATGTATATCTTCTTGGGGAAACTCATTCATCTTCTCTCATATGACACTATTGGAGAACCACTGAATTAGGATGAACTTAGACTAATGTTAGATGGTCTGAATTACGGTGATGAACTTCATGAGATCAGTGTCCAAAATAATTGGATGGCTGCAGCATTTGGTCCTCAAAATAATTTTAATAAATTATAGATTAATAATGGAGTTATTATCTCGACTTTATTAGCGGAGGAGAATTATAGAGGGGCCGTGCATGGGGGGGGGGGGAGGGGCTGATATCCATGCCATTTTCTCAAAACGGTGCCCGTCAGCCTACGACCAAAATTTGCCCCTTTCTAATATGCCCCTATAGCAACAGCATAAGTTCCCTTTTAACGTTTATTAATTTACATCTGAAAAAGTATCCCTTTTGGCACCCCCTCAAATTTGAAAAACATTCCACTGTGCCTTTTAATTACTGAACTACACATCATTAAAAAAAAACTAATTTCTCATTCTTCCATACTGAATTTATTATTATTATATGGAAGAGTCACGCATAAACAAAATTTGACAACTTGGCATTTTTCAACTGCGGCATTTTACACCTACAAAAAAGGCATGCACCAAGTGAACAGAGCATTTATAAGACGTGAAGGGGGCATTTATGAATAGGTGATAGGTCCCTTATTAGAAAAGAAAAGGGGCACGTATCATTTCTAAAAGGGAAAATTATAAGAGGTGAAAAGGGGCACTTATCGCACCTGTAAAGGGGCACTGCCCAGATATGAAAAGGAGCACTTATGAGAATGAAAAAGGGGCTTTTATAATAAATGAAAATGTGCATTAGTAGGAAAAAGGGGAACCGATCAGATTTTGATAGGGTCATTCTTCAAAGGTGAAAGCGGGCTTTTATGAGAAGGGGAAGTGGTTCTTATAAGAAGGAGAAAGAGCGTTTATTTGAAAAGAAAAGGGGCACTTTTCAAAATAAAAGTGGCAGTAATTAAAGGTGAAAAGGGACACTCATCGGAAATAAAGGAAGCACTTATCAAAAGTGAAGAATAGGGGCACTTCTCGTACCTTAAAAGGGCTCTTATGAAAATGGAAAATTGACACTTATTGCAAAGGAAAATGGAAACTTGTCGAAGGAACAGGGGCACTTTTCTTATGTAAAAAGGGGGACTTCTTTCAAAGTTAAGAGGGCACTATTGGGGTACTTGAAAAAAATGGGGGAAGTGTGTCCCTCGATCTTCCCCCCAGGAGGGCCGCCTCTGATGTTGGCCTAATAGTTAATTCAACACAGACGTTGTGAGTCCGGACACGTTGTGTATTCAATTAAATTCAATTAAATTTCTTTTTTTCAATTCCAGCAAATACATTAAAAATACATAGGTAAATACTTGACATATATACACACATATATACGAGTTATATACAATATAATACAGTACAGATTTTTTTTTAATGGTATTATAGGAATTAGGATGGGCATCAAAATAATAGGGGAATTTGTCGAGACGGCCAACCGAACAAAGTATAACGAAATATAGCGCAAGACATGTTTGATATAATTCTTTATTTTTTTAGGAGAGGTGTAAAATATAACTTTATAATAAGTATCATCACAATGAAAAACAAAAGAAAAAAGGACATAAACACACAAACAAACAAAATACGCAATGCAGTATAACAAAATAACAAAAACATGATTAAGATTTATTCAGCTTTTAATTAAAATACTCAAGTTTCTTTTAAAATTGTATCTGGACATTTGATAAAAAACAGCAATTTGAAGAAATTTAAAGGCACTACATTATTTAGACACGTTGATACATTATGGCCCCAGAGTGCCCTACACTTCCTTGCAAATATTGGCTGCTGCCATAGAATTTGCCTATTCACCAACTCTCCACGCCCCCAGGAGTAGCTAGGAGCCCCTTCATTCTAATAATCCCACATCATCGACCCCTACCCGAAGTTACACTGATCGCTAGCGGTGTGCAAAGTTCTTAGATTGGCAACGTGATTAGCTGTCGAATCTATTGGGTCTTTAAATTCTACATATTGGAATTAATGCACACAAAATTCGACCACTCAGCGTGCACCACGCGATAAATTTATGCATTTTTATGCAGGCAATGTGAGAATTCTGTGCGGCGTCGAAGTATTTGCATGTGACCGGCGTAAATGGTGAGAACACACCCCTTATTCAATACTAATTTGCTACGGTTGTGTATAGAAAATAGACTGAAAAGCTCATCATGTATTTATGATTCAATTTTAACTTATTTTGTTGATTGTGTTTGAGAGAATGTGCTGTTTCAATTGTGATTTTAAGTCGATCATTTTTCCTGTAGTCCCATGTATTGCAAATGAGAGGGTGTGATGTGTGAATTTTGTGACTGTTGAATTTAGATGCATGTTTTGTACTGCGAAAAAATAGCACATAGGGGTCTATAAACTTGTTCCTAGTACGTGAACGTGAATTTAATTTACACATTGTATGAGTGTTTGTAGGCATGAGCCTAAAAATCTTAGAAGAGAGTCTAAATCTAACATTTTAACACAAATTTACATTTTAAAATTTAAATTAAAAATGATTGCACAATGACTCAGACTTTTTTGCTGGATTTGAATATTGCCAACTAACCAATCATAGAAAAGCATCACCAATTATAACTTAGTTGTAGAACTCTATTCGTTTAGATTATTATAGGCCTAGATCTACACCAATTAGCTCCATCAGTATTCATGTCATGATGAGTCATGATGGAGCTAATCAATAATCTAAACTTAATTAAATAATTCTACAAAGTACCAGTTAAGGCATGCATGAGTAGACTGAAAGCTTCAAGTTCAAACTCTGATATCAATGGTTGCTCACTGAGGCTACGTCTGGCTCTCAGAAGAATGATTGTAGATCTTGATCTTTTTTTGGTATCAAGAACGAGAGTCACAATGAAACTTTGAATTTAAAGTCAATTAATTAGCCTAACTGATTATCAAGAGCTCAGCTGATTGTGCAAACAAATGAACAACACCCCCAAATTAATTATAGACTATTGTTTCTTTTTTATTAGGGCTAAAGTGTGAGTCTTGAGTGTTTTCTTTCCCACAAAGATCTCTTCAATCTGCTAGACTAGTTGCAATATATCTAGATAGTAGGCCTAGATTGTGTTAAATCAGTGTTACCATGCATCATTTTTCTTTAATCTTGATGAAGAAGAATAGTTCACAATTTTTTTGTTTCTTAGTTTGTGACACATGAATACAATTTAAACAGCAGGCGATGCACAAGTTTGTGTTAACTGATGTTCTTAACATCTTTCACTTGCAGTTCTCATATTACTTCATGGTAAAGCTACGATTTAATTTTTTTTTTTTAATTAAAAAAAAAAATAAACCGAATATTTGAGTATTCGTTTGTAAGCTTGGGAGTGTACTCGGGAACTTCATTACACGGTTGTGCACAGCCTTACTTCATGGTATTATATTCTTCCCTCATCATGTCTGTGCAGGTAATATCAAGATGAAACTGAAATTCATACTCCTGACTCTCCTCCTCCTGGGGACCCTCACATTCATCCGTTGCCAAGACGATGAAGATGAAGATGATTTTGATAGTGAGGACTTGGATGTTCAAGTAGAGGAGGAGGAAGACGTTGAACCAATTGAACAGGTGGAGTATTCACCTCCGGAACCAACAGGTCCACATAACCTTGCTGAACCGTTTGACAGTGCAGATGTTCTTGGCACAAGGTAAATCCTTTTAAATTCATTTTATATAACTTTCCTCTAGAGATAAAAACAGCTTTTGAAGTTATTACCATACATTTTATTAGGCCCCTCTTTAATTCCTTAATTGAAAATGTAGAGGAGGGGGGAGGGGAATTGTATAAGGATTAATGAACATAATGGTATGGTATAGATGATCTCTGTATTTTGCAATCATAGCACTTTGTTGCAGACCAATAATGAACTTGCCATGAAGATAATGGTCAGACAAGTTTTACTGGATGTAAGTACCAGCAGTTCTTTGCAAATTTTGTTCAATTTCAGGATTTTGTTTTATTTTAAATAATGTGACTGCTCCGTGATATGCAGACTGATAGAAGAGATGTAAATCTCAAGCACATTATCTAGAAACAGCATAAGAACCAATTCTTGGTTGGAATTCTTTCTTTTTTCATGCACTAATCCAGCTGTGCGATAGTATACTGAATGAAATATACATTCACACTTTGTCAGAGATGAATATTTCATCTGTTTGGATCCAGAAGGATGTTAACTCATATACTTCTTGCTCTGAACAAATGATTTGAAGTATTGTTACCTATTTTTCTGTAGATGGATTCCATCCAAGGCTAAGAAGGACGGCGTCGATGAAGACATCTCAAAGTATGACGGAAAGTGGGCCATTGAAGAAGCAGAGACTTCCCCTCTTGCCGGAGACTTGGGACTTGTATTGAAGGTATGTAATCTTATTTCATGTGATTAATGGTTTGTGAAGATATTTTGTAGGCTTTATACATGTAGATGATGCCTAGAAACGTGTAATCTATTCAGGAAATCAGGCGGGGAAAAAAAAATTCTGGAAAATGTTTTGGCCATTTTTAATATTTCTGTGTGTGTGGCACTGGTAAATGACTTTTGACTTAAACAAGCTACTTAAATCCAGAGGGAATGGCCCGTATTAAACTAGAACTTAAATGTGACACTGGGTTTAGGCTTTTGTTCAAAAATCAGGTTTACCAAGGGGAGTTTGTCTGATGTATAAGTTTTTTTTTTTGTTCAATGTGAATTTAGACACAGGGCTGGGTTTAACTGAAGTAGTTAGAATGAGGACCAATGAAATGTTAAACAAATAAACTGGATCGCATCTTTAAGTGCTTTCTGATTATGTTTCAAATTAACTGTTTTTCGGTTTCTTTTATTTTTCAGTCCAAGGCCAAACATCATGCCATATCTGCCAAGTTGAACAAGCCTTTTGTTTTTGAAAATGAACCATTCATTGTCCAGTAAGTATTGATTGTGAAAGATAGTGACAGATATAACCTGTATGAAATTTGTGACAAGGCCCTGTGGAGGACTTGTTTAAAAAAAAAAGTGAAAATTGATTCATGTTCAATTGTCTTTGTATATATACATGTATTCAGAAATTAAAGAAATTTTTTGTAGACGATAAACAGGAGAGTTATCCGCTGCTATGTTACTATTCACTGAACGAACTGCTAATTTGAGATTTCCATAGACTTAGTGATCTCATTTTCAAAACATTAATAACCTTCTTATTATTGGTCCAATTTATTTCAAAATTTTGCCATTCTGTTTCTATTGTTCTGCTTTCATAAAAATGGACTTATTACAAGGGTTAGATGGCCCTTTAATTGGCCAAAGTTGCACAATTTGTTTAATCACACGTTATCTTATTAAAGGTACTGCACCCATTTGAAATATTTTATCTTGTAATACACTTCTGATGTCTGATTATTTACATGTACTTTATTTTTAAGATATGAGGTTAAGTTCCAGAACTCCCATGATTGTGGTGGTGCATACGTGAAGCTCCTGACTGATACGCCAGATCTGTCTTTGGTAAGTAACCATCTGAAATTCAGTTCTTACTCTTATACAATAGTTCTGATTGATTTTTGTGAGAGGGAACAAGTACACTTATTCACCTTCATAATTCCATGGTGTTCATTGCGAAAGTTGGATAATTCAAATGCGTATTGAACATCAACTATTATGATTTCAGAATTATCATTCATAATTCACCTTTTGATTTCATATTACTTCCCCCAGGATTCTGTATTTGACAAAACACCATACACCATCATGTTCGGACCTGATAAATGTGGTGCAGATTCTAAGGTAAGATACATACTATTTTGCAGTCACCAAATGTAATATTTTTAGCCCCATGCATTGTCTCTTTCTTTGATTTGTATGTAATCGAGTACTGTTGGCATATAAAAAGATATTGTCAGAATTATACAATTTTTATGCAAAGTAAATTACATTTATCGTTGTTTAAAAAAAATTGTGAAATATGTTCCTTTAATTTAAAAATGGATTGAATAAATATTGATAGTATACTGTTTTTAAACAGTTGTTTTGTTCTTCCCTCCTTATAAAACCTCCCCCAATTTCATAATTTGTCTGTCCTATTAACGATTTCCATTATTGAAATACTAGAATATACAGGAGATACTGGAATTTGATTAAAAAATATGAAATTAAAATTAATTTGAAAAATTTGAACTAATTAATTTTTCTGTCCTGTAATGATTTCCTTTATTAAAATAAAAGAAAAAATAGGAATTTGATTTAAATTTCTTTCTTTTATCTTACAGCTTCACTTCATCTTCAGGCATAAAAATCCTAGTACTGGTGAATTTCAGGTGAGATACAGTATATTTCTTCACTGCTCTGTGTTTGGCTTAATCACTTCTGTGCTACTTTCCCCACTTCCAGAAACAAATTTGCTAGCAGTATGCTTAAACATGAAATGATAGATTGGATTATAGTTTTATGTTATCAGGGTGACTGATAAGGGATAGAGCAATGTCGATCTGGTGCTGCTCAGTGGCTGCCGGGCTCAAGTCACTTGGGCAAAAAGAATTTCCGTTTTGGTTTAATAAAATTTGGAGTGGGCTATTAGGCTATTATTATTATTATTATTATTATGCATAATGAAATTACTTTTCAATTCTACATTCATTCACTTTATATCTCAGACTTTATGTTATGCAATATACCCAGTGAGTGTGTGGAGTTTACTACTATTATGAGTAAACACTGATTTTTTGTTGTTGATGCTTGAGGGCGATAGACCTTTCCCCTTGTATTTGTCTTGTAACTGATCTTTTATCTGTATATCATGTTTTTATGTTTTAATGTTTTTTACGGAGAGTGAAATAAATGAAATGAAATGAAGTGTCACAATCACATGTTAATAGAACAATTATCATTAAAATGCCTCTGTGTTTGACATATTTGTAGGAGAAGCATGCCAAGAAGCCAACTGGTGCATTCAGCCATGTCTTTACTGACAAGAAGGCCCATCTCTTCACTTTAGGTAAGAATTTATCATAAGCGTGTGGCCGTGTGTCACTATCATATCATCCTGAATATATGAATATTACTTTTTTCTTTATTGATAATTTATCTGTGTAATTTTAAAGTTATGAGTTAAAGATGCACTCTGTATTATACAAATGTCACTTGAAAATTGCAAAGACAATGATCTACAACAAAATGAATTATCTTTAACATATGCCGAGTATCTATCAGTCTTTGTTAAATCTTGAAATGCCTGTTTAGACTCATTGGCCCGAATTCACAAAGGAGGTTTAAATTTAACCCATGGTTTAAATCTTCATTTACATAACCCATGGTTTAAAATTAGCGTAATTCATCGCGTACACACTCTCAGTCAGAGGTCCAAAATTAGACGCATTCAAAGGAAATTACGCTTATTTTGCGCTAGTTTTAAACCATGGGTTATGTAAATGAAGATTTGGGCCATTGCTGTTGGGTTTATGAAATATGATATCATAACTGAATGTGAATTCTCTGTAATGATATTGCAATTTAGAGATAAAAGTTAGTCTTAGCACTGTTCAACTATCTTGATCTTGTCTGTATGGTAACCACAAGTTTAAAGAAATGTTCTGAAAGTACATTCTAACCTAATTGTTGCAAAATTTTCTTGCGGCTGTGATAGTCATTCACTGTTCTTTAATCTGTTTATACCATCCAGTGATCAACACCGACAACACCTTCCAAGTTCTTGTCGATCAGAAGGTCGTCAACTCTGGCAGTCTGCTTTCAGATATGAGGTCAGTAAGCTTGTGATGCTCATCAGTCTTTAAGCGTCCTTCAATTCTGACATAGATTAAAGATCAGTGTTGTATTAATTACAAAGATTAAATGTTCATTATTTGTCATACGTCCTGGTGACCATTGCTCTGTTGTCAATTCCCGACACTAGCAAACTTCCAGACTTCAGCCATGGACTCAGTACTAAACCTGACCCTAAACCTAATATAAAACACCTTGTTTTTTGGATGTAGCATCCATTTAATTTACAAATTCAGAAAACTGGTTCAGCGCTATATACAGGGCTCAACACTAACAGGCACTCAGAACACATTATTGCCCAAAATCTTTGTCCGGAACCACCAATTTTCAATTCTTTTACTTAGGGCTCATGCACACAGGCTCCAGAAAGAAAGTTAGAGTGAAACCTGGCTATAATGTGCTTATTCTGTTAAAATAAGATAGCTATGTAACAAAATTTATAGGACAAAAACATATTTAGGTAACAAATGTATAGTACAGTGACATGAAAATGTACTGCATGGATGATGTTTACGGGCACAAATTTTCAATGATCCTGGTTCAAATATACCCGCTAATAACATTTTAAAAATTGTTTTGTAAGTTATGCCTTTTTCTTCATTGTTTTTTACAGTCCCCCTGTAAACCCACCTGCTGAGGTTGAGGATCCTGATGACAAGAAGCCAGCTGACTGGGATGACAAGAAGAAGTAAGAATTAACTTTTCTTTCATACTATATATACAGTCAAACCTGTCTGTAGCGACCGCCCAAGGGAAACACAAAAAGTGGTCTTCTTAGACAGGTGGTGTTTGTAGACAGGTTCATTTAGTACATATTCCAATGAGAAACCATTTTCAAGGGAAACAAAAATATGGTCTTTGTAGACAGGTGGTCACTAAAGCGGGTTTGACTGTATCTATATCAGGTAGAATTATAACAAATCTTGTATTGGGGTAGCATTTTTTTTGTCACCTGAACATGAGTGACATATGGCATAGATTTCAATATGATGACTATGTGGACAGAAATGAGCAGAGATGAACCTGAATGAAACTCGTGAAATTGATCTGTGAAGATATTGTTGTGACAGGTTTTTATCGAGAATTGCCAACCAACAAATAGCTAAATTAATACTGCAGATATAAAAGAAAATGCATTCATGAGGATCATTCACTTGTTTTCATTGTTGCATACTGGGTGTTGATAGTTTAGACTCATGTATACATCTACATAGATCTCACTTCATGTAACTCTTTCTTGAATAATTTTCCCTGTGTATTCTTCTTTCCTGTTCCTTTTCTTTGTGTTTGCCACCCCCTCTCTCTCTCTCTCTCTCTCTCTCATTCTCCATCTCTGTATTTAGGATCCCTGAGCCTGGTGCAGAGAAGCCCGAGGATTGGGATGAAGATGAACCCAAGGAGATCGTTGATGAGTCTGCGGTACAGCCCGATGGATGGCTCGAGGATGAACCCGAGCTCATGGACGACCCCGATGCAGAGAAACCCGACGACTGGTAAACCATAAAACTCACATACCCCATGCTCTCTGTGAAGTAAGAGCTCTCATAGGCCTTCTCTCTCTCTCTTGGAGAGGAAGGGAAGGAAAAGTATAGTTTAGCACTGCACAGTTAACCTATATTCTGTTCATGGTCGACACCTAAATTATTGCCCGCACCATCAAGTGAATGGAAGCTGTGGTACCCACTGAATCAATATTCGAGCCAGAGAAAAAGAAACAGCACCATCTAATCATCACTGATGAATAACTCGAAAAACTGTATAGTCAGGCGGAAATAATCTTTTCAGATTGGACAGCCTTATGAACCCAACAACAACAACAACAACAATCAGTTTGGATTAGAATGCTAGTATGTGAGTTTTTAAAGAATGTTCCCAAAAGCATACCACAAGAAAATTTCCACCAGAGTGTTCCGATTACTTCCAGGAGATTATCCCATGAGGTAGTGGTATGCTGTCCTGTCAGTACATGTTGAGTGAAGATAGATTTGTTCTGAACATGGCTTGATTCGGATACATATGCTTTGTATTGAAGATGAATGTCCCTGTATAAGAAACAAATTGAGTATACACCTCCCTCTCTTGTTAGACCAATTGATGTTATAAATTGTCTTGTGTGAAATGTAGTCGGAGAGAGATTAGATGTTTAAAAACTGGGTCTACTAACTAATATGGATCTCCGTGGGAAAATGTAGCATGGAGGTGCTTTTGCTGATTTCTGACTTTGATTGACCCCCGTACCACAATATTAAATGCATAGCAACTATAGAGTCTTAAAGAAATGCAGAAATACTCAGAGACGGCTGTGATAATTTGAATTTGTTCCTCATTATTGTAGTTTTTTCCTTGAAGTACATGAAATATGAGAGGTATAGATTGCTTATTTTGACTTGATTTGTATTTTGTAGGGATGATGAGATGGATGGAGAATGGGAACCACCAAAGATCAGTAAGTATTAAACTCAATTTCATTCTCTTCAAATGGTCAGTGATCTACATATGTGGGATAGTCTTGGAACCAAATATCCTCTGTGCCAATTGACATGTGTAGCAAAATTAGATGAAAAATCTAAGACTTCTTTTTTTGTTGTTGAGGGAAATGCTAAACCTCAACATAAAGACTGCAGGGGAAATGAGAAAACGGTCTTTATAGTGAGGTGGTTTTTTGATACAGGTTGAAAAATGGAGCGCTGCTCATGGCACAGGAAACTTAAAGACCATTTAAGCAGATGCAACTTGTTTGAATTAAACTCTAGAGGAGAGAAAAGAGAAGAAAATAATACAAGGATAGATATTTAAGGTTTTTAAGGTCCTCGAACACGCTCTGAATAATTATGTGCGTGTGCATTTAAATTCATATTGCTATTATAATGTACTTGTATATAGGGTCCCTATTACAAGCAGTCTTGCTTCTCAGGGGCCCTGGCCATTATTACTTTTTATGTAGTTCTTTGATATTAATCTTCTATTCTATTGATGTTTTTGTATATTTTTTTTAATGGTTAATACATGAGATGAAATGTGAGGAGGTGGTCAAAGATGATGGCAGAAATGTAAAAATCCTACGCTTCTTTCCTCTCTGCAGACAACGCGCTATGTGAAGACGTCGGATGTGGCGAATGGAAGGCTCCCATGGTGCCCAACCCAGAATACAAGGGCAAGTGGAAGGCACCTTACATTGATAACCCTAACTACCAAGGGGAATGGAAGCCCAGAGTGATCCCTAATCCAGACTTCTTTGAGGACCTAGAACCATTCAAAATGTCTCCTATCGTAAGTTCATTTCAATGACTATTGATATTACTTCTTCCTAAAAGGATGGCTAATATGTGGAAAATTGTAAAAAATTATTTGCTTGTCTCATGAAAAGTTCTGTAATAATACCCTGATCCATTTGGAGATTGAGAAAGGAGTTGTGTGATGACTCAAAATAATAATGACCCTGAGAAAAATTGGACACATATAACTGTTTGATTTAGAACATAAGTTGATGCTAAAGCTACCTGATATAATACTTGGTGAGATAGTTGAATTGTTAGTAAAGTTTATTTAACCATAAAATGAAACATGTACATACAAATTAGTAACATAGTAAACATAATACGGTAAAGGACACCCTTAGAAGCAAATTGCTTGTGGTGGGGCCTTAAAAAGAAAAAAAACAAACTACACATAAATTATACAGTTTAAAAACTTTAAAATAACATGATACAAACACACATGCACGCTCACACATATACATACACACATACATTCAAAATATCCTCCTCTGCTCAAACTTGTTTACATAAATCATTAAATAATAACTGCGTGCATCGTACTTTAAATCGAGATTGAGTTGTACTTTCCTTAATATCATTACTCAAATTATTCCATTCCTTAATGCCATTTAAATAGAAAGAATTTTGTGCATTTGTCGTACGAACTTTAAATAAATGTAAATCTTTTTTCTGACGAGTAGAATACGAGTGAATATCGCTATTAATAACAAAGTTTATATTAGGAATTTCTGGCAATAGGCGATTTTGAAATTTAAACATAAATATGCGAGTATTAAATTGAATCAATTCAAAAATTGGGACTACGTGTGTTTTAACAAAAAGTTGCCGTGATGGGGCTAAATAATCAGATTTAGTAATAATACGCACGGCTCGTTTCCGTAACAAATAAATCTGATCTATATATGATGCATAATTATTTCCCCAAATAATATTACAATAATTTACATGTGGAAAAATACAACATTAGCAAAATATTTGATGGTAAAACATGCTTTAGCTTTGACAAAACTCCAATACTTCGAGATAATTTCAACGAAATGCAATCAATATGAGGTTTCCAATTAAGTGATTCATCAATTATAATACCAAGAAACTGAACAGATTCTTTCCCTTCTATAATATTTACATCAATTTGTATAGGCAATAAATCACTAGGGATCTTCCGATTTCGAGAATGAAATATTACATAATTTGTTTTATCATAATTGAGAAATAATTTATTACATTTAAACCAATTATCCAATTATATCAATTCATTATTCATAATATCAACTAAAGTAAATACACTACTATGTGATGTAATAACTGAAGTATCATCTGCAAAGAGTGTAAAATTTAATACATTTGAAGATTGTTTAATATCATTTATATAAATCAATAACAAAAGGGGCCCTAGAACTGATCCTTGAGGAACACCACATATAAAATCCCTTTTAGTCGAACAGACACCATCAACCACCACATACTGCTTTCTATCACTCAAATAGTTTTCAATTAATTTCAATGGAAGGCCGCGAATACCATAATGATTTAATTTTTTGAGCAGTATGTGGTGGTCAATAGTGTCGAACGCTTTTGACAAATCCATAAACACACCCAACGAATAGTTACCCTTATCCATATTCTTAATTACATAATCTGTTAAATGAAGTGCTCCCAAACATGTAGAATAAGTCTTCCTAAATCCAAATTGCTCATTAATCAATAAATTGTTTTTAACCAAAAAATCATAAATTCTTTTTTGCAGGATTATTTCAAATAATTTTGAAAAAATTGATAAAAGAGCAATTGGTCTATAATTTTGTATATTTTCTTATTCATTTTTCTTATAAATGGGTATAATTTTAGCTAATTTCAATCTGTCAGGGAATACTCCAGAAGAAATTGATTTATTAAATATATCACATAATGGATCAACAATAAAGTGTATACATTCTTTTACTACTCTGGGAGAAATACCATCTGGGCCACTTGCTTTATATGGTTTCAATGTTTTACTAAGTTCAATTATTTCAAATACTGTAGTAGGTTTTAAAAACAATGTAAAATCATTATGATTTTTTAAATAATCATTAAATGAAGTATCTACAACAGGAATGCCACGAGCTAGATTACTCCCTACATTAACAAAGTATGAATTGTAACATTCAACAATCTCTTTTCTATTATTGTAACTAATATTTTCAAAATACATATTACACGGCAAATCATCGGCTCGTGGTCATCGGCAAACCACGAGCTAGATTACTCCCTACATTAACAAAGTATGAATTGTAACATTCAACAATCTCTTTTCTATTATTGTAACTAATATTTTCAAAATACATATTACATGGCAAATCATTCTTCTTGCTCTTTCCTAGTAATACATTAACTTGTGACCATGTTTTCTTGCAATCATGTTTATACTTGGCAAACATTTTTTAATAGTACTGTTTCTTAGCTGTTTGTAATAAAGAAGTTAATTTATTTTTATATATAGTATACTTAGTTCTATTATTATCATTACGTTGTTTCAAGAACTGTTGGTGTAATTTTTGTTTCTTTCGTACTGATATCAAAAGTCCTTTACTCATCCATGGTTGCTTGAATTTGCACTTCTTTTTCTTTTCAAAAATGGGTAACAATGGAAAACAATCATCGTACAATAATGAGAATTTACATATAAATTTATTATAACAATAATTCACATTATCAACATTATTCATATTTGACCAATCTACTTTTTTCAACTCATTCTTCAGTCGAGATATCCCGTCTTTTGTAATTTTTCTTTTGTTCATACTAGCAAATTCAGAACGATGTCTATACTGATTATCTTTATTATTTTTACAAACATTAATACAATACACTGGAAAATGGTCAGAAAAGTCGGAGTATAATAAACCTGAATGTACATTATCATTTAAAGTATTTGTAAAAATGTTATCAATAAGTGTTGCAGTTTTTGTAGATACTCGAGTAGGTTTCAAAATTAGTGGAAGCATATAAAATTTCAATTTCAATTTCATTTATTTCCACAGATTCATAAAAGACAATGTAAATTACAATCAAATATAAAAGTATTACAACAAAAGATGAACCTGCAGAGGGGGTGATCAAAAACCACAGAGGTTTATCGGGGATCATCCCCTGCTTAAAATTACAATATAAAAATACAATAGTTTTTTTTTTAATTAAACAATAACACATACATGTACAAAAACATATATAGATATTACATGCAAATCTATGCGTGGGGTGAGTAGTAGTGGGTTGGTGGTACCAAGAAATACAATATAAAGAGGAAATGAATGATATACAGGAAAGAAATATTGAGAACAATAGAAAGAAACACCGTACAAACTATATCTTAAGAGTTGGATACGAGATCAAATATTGTTTCAACTTTGACTTGAAAGAATAAAGTGATGAGCAGCTGACAATATCATTGGGAAGTAAATTCCATAGTGATGGTCCACTAAAATAAATGTTCCTTTGAAGAAAAGTTGTTTTAACAGAGGGCAAATGAAATTTATTTGAACTTCTTGTTTCATAAGAGTGAATTTCAGCATTAACAATGAACATCTCATTAAAAATACATGGTAGCTGATTTTTCTTGAAAAGAAACATAAATTGAGCAAGTTGCATATAATATAGAGATTTCACATTCAAAATATTCAGGCGTTTATACAAGGGTGCAGTATGTGCAAGATAAGTAGAGTTTGTTATTGCACGAACAGCCTTTTTCTGTAAAATCTGCAAACGGTTCATTAAGGTAATTAAACATCCACCCCAAGCTAAGACGGCATATGAAAAATGTGGCAAGATTAGAGTATTGTATAAATTCATTAATATTTTTGGGGGGAGCAGTTTATTTACACTATAAATAACTCCCAGTACACTGGCAATTTTTGAAGATATGTAACTGACATGACTTTTCCAAGTAAGGTACTCATCTATGTAAACTCCTAAAAATTTAGTTGAATTAACTCTGGTGAGCAACACATTATCAAATTTTACATTCAATTCATTAAAATCACCTCCAACCTTTCTTCTCCTGAATACAATATAATTAGTTTTTTTCATATTAACAACAAGTTTATTAGCAGTGAACCATTTGCAAACTCTACTCAGTTCTTGGTTTAAAACCTCATTTAAATTTTGCACAGTTTTACCTGATAATAATATATTGGTGTCATCAGCAAATAAAACAAAATTAAGCTTGTCAGACACAAAGTGAAGATCATTTATAAACAACAAAAACAATAAAGGACCAAGAACACTGCCTTGGGGTACTCCTGTTGAAAGGATCTGTGATTGAGAACAAACATTATTAAATTTAACAAACTGTTTCCTATTCAAAAGGTAATTTTTGAACCATTTGAGAGGAGTTCCCCGTATGCCATAAAATGATAGCTTTTGTAACAAAATAGAATGGTTAATACAGTCGAACGCTTTAGATAAATCAAGGAATATACCAACTGGAATTAGCTTATTTTCCAATGCCTGAGTAACAAGATTTAAAAATTCAATTAGAGCCATGGATGTTGAGTGTTTTTCACGAAATCCAAATTGTTTAGCATATAAAATATCATTCTTATTCAAGTAGTTAATGAGACGTTTGTAGACCAATTTTTCTAATATTTTTGAAAAGATTGGCAAGATAGAAATAGGTCGATAATTTTCTATTTTTTCTTTACAGAGATTCTTATAAAGGGGTATTACTTTTGCTAACTTTAATTGATCTGGAAGTTGTCCTGAAATAAAAGACTCATTAAAAATATGACAAAGGTGTTTGGCATAAACATGTATAGTTTTCTTAACAATCTCTGGTTCAATATCATCATGTCCGGCACTTTTATTTGCTTTAAAACTACGAACAATCTCGACAATTTCTCCCTCAGTAATAGGTTTTAAGAAAAAAGAATTGGAATAATTACCTTGTAAAAAACAATTAAAGTCATTTATGGAAGAGCATTGATTGCCTAGTGAGGCTCCAATAGAAACAAAATAGTCATTGAACAACTCTGTAATTCTTATATTGTCATAAATTTTGTCACCTTCATTTAAAATAAATTCAGGACGGACACCCTGGGGTTTCCTCCTTATTATTTCATTAATGTACTTCCAAGTCTTTTGCATATTGCCTCTCACGGACTGAAACTTATTTAAATAATATTCTTTTTTCACATATCTTATATCTTTATTCAGCTTATTCCGAAATGTTTTAAAATTACGTTCTCTCTCTAGTGATGGTTTGGAAAGATATTTTTTATACAATCTATTCTTCTTCTTACACCGTTTTTTAATTTCGTTAGTAATCCATAGTTTAACACTTTTCCTTTCCTTAATTGTAATCTTTTTAAGTGGAAAACAGGAATCATATATGTTTTTAAAAGCATTCATGAATAGATTATACTTCATATCAACATCAGATGTATTATACATATTTTGAAAATTCAAGGTACTGAAATTTCTATTAAATAATTGAAAACCAGAGTCAGTTATATTGCGTTTATAAAATACTCTTTCGGAATTCACTGGTTTATTCCAAGAGAGAGTGGCAAATATAGGTAAATGGTCTGTTATATCAGTCAATAGAATACCAATTTTTAAAAATTCATGTACTGTATTTGAAAAAATATTATCGATAAGAGTTGCACTTTCCTTAGTAATTCTAGTCGGATTATAAATAATTGGGAAAAAACAATGAGATGCCATTAGTTCGGCAAAGTCATTTACATAAAGGCACACATCCATTTTCATTAAATCAATATTGTAATCGCCCATAAGATAACAGTCTTTATTTTCTTTTTGGAGGTTGGATAACACTGTATAGATATCATTGATGAACATTCCAACCGATTGATTAGGCGGTCTATACATAGCTCCGATTAAAATATTTTTGTCACTCTCTCTTGGAATTTCAATAAAGATCATCTCATATTGTTTGTTTACCACAGTAAGATCAGAACGATGAAAATATTTTAAATTATCGTGTATCAGAATTCCTACACCTCCTCCACGACCTTCAACTCTGCCACAGTTTACATAAGAATAATTTGGAGGAACAAATAATGAAAAATTTTCATCCTGATTTATCCAAGTTTCAGTTAGACCTATCACATCAAATGTGACTGACAGAGAAGTTATATAATCAAATATATTTTCATAATTCTTCCTTAGGCTACGACAGTTAAAATGTATAAATGATAATGAAGTCTTTGAGTCAACTTCATTCATAAACTCATTGAATTGATCTTCTAGAAGGTATGGTGTACTATCCTCTTTGCAGAAATCAGATAAAGGCATTAGAAAAAGTACCACCCACTATACATGTATATTACAGCTATATAAATAATGGTTAAAAAAATGTACCAACCACAAGAATAGGTTATGGCATACAAGATTGATACATGTACCACCACTACAACAATAATAAACAACACCCCACAGTATCTTCAACAGCTAAGAGGAAGAACAACAAAAAAATTACAAAAAATTACAAAAATTACACACAGCCAAGGAATTATAAAAAGGTCTTTATAAAAAAGATTAAAATATTTTACTTAAGTTAATAAAAAATAAAGTCTCATTGACAAAGACTAGGATACATTAGATTCATACAACTATGTACACAATAACAAATATAAATCAGTATGAAAAATACAGCAAGTGAAATGTCACTGTCATGAATCTTGACACTATCATTATCAATGAAAAAAATAAACATATTACTGGCAAGTGAGGAAAGAGAACTACCACACAAGTTTCGGGAGAGTGTTTAGAAAGTCAATGTTTGGGATAAGTCGTCTTACAGACTCACCATGAGTGGATGGAACATTCGCAAATACCTTCCCATCCATAGTCCAGCAGGTTGTGACTCTATCGCTCTTCTGGGTAGCAATTAGCAAACTGTGTCTATAGCGGGTAAGGTCCTCATGAACTGAGATTTTTGATTTCTTAAGTTTCTTTTTCTCCTTCAAGATTTCTCTCTTTTTTTTGTGGGAAGTAAGCTTAACGATGATTGGACGCGCTTTCGGTCCACCTGGCTTGCCCACACGATGCGAGCGGTCGATGTCAGAAGACCGAAGCTCGACTCCTAGTTGCTTTACCATGATGTCAATCACGACATCATCGGTGATCTCACCTGCACTTTCAGGAGAACCAAAAACTCTGATGTTGTTTCTCCTAGAGTACTGCTTCAGCTCCTCAAGTTCCCCGTCCAGGCGACCGATGGTGTCTTGCTGCTTAGTCAGCTCAACATTGAGATGATCAACCTCTTTCCTTTTCTGCTCGACAGCAGAGTGCAGATCCAAAATAGTTCCAGCATTCTGCTCAATCCTTTCAAGAAGTTGCTCCTTCACTCCTGCCAGTATCTTGTCGATCACCTTGTTGACAACGCCTTGGAATATCGTAAGAAGTTCATCGTTTTGAAGCAGATCAACAAGTTGTTCAGCACTGATGAGAGGTTGAGATGGCTGGGCCTGGGTTTGTGCTTTAGGCTTAGCTCGAGTATTCATTGCTGATTGTCTATAAAAACTCTAATAGAAAACGAGGTAAATTTAATGTAGCGAGACGTTTGATGAGAAGGATGATGAAAAATATATTGCACAGCGGAAGTAAAAGTAATCAGATTCCGGCACAGGTCAGGTGAGTTCGCATGAAATGAGTCGATGGCGATGTACATGTAGGCATGTACACACACGCAAACAGAAAATGTAAATGACCGCACGCAACAATTGGTAGATGGGACTGTACTATAGTCCAAGTCTCACAGAAGCAACACGTCTCAAAATACAAATAGTTACAGTATCATAAATTACCTCTTATGAGCACAAACCCAGCGCTTTAAAAGATCCAGTGACAGTAGAAGAGGGTTCCAAATGAGTTTACATGGCTAAAAAGAAATAGTTCCAGGTAAAAAAGGTAAAAGTGATTGGCAAGATTCAAATCACGCACGATAGCGTCCACCAGCCCTCAGTAAACAATCAAAAAATGAAAGCATTTTTTTCTAAAAAATCATTTGTTTTATCATGAGAAGCACAATTTAATAAATCAATATTATAGTCGCCCATAATATATATTTCTTTTCGTTCACTATCCAATAATTCTAAAACAGAGTTCATCTTTTCTATAAAACATGGTATATCAGAGCTTGGTGGGCGATAAATACAAGTAATTACAATAGGTTTTTTTAAAGGTTCATTTGTTTCAATTGATACAATTTCATAATCAGGTGTAATGCATGTCAAATCATTGCAAATTTTATACTGGATGTTGTGCTTAACATAAATGGCAACTCCCCCACCGTTTTTATTGTCTCTACATTGTTGTATCAAGGAATACCCCTGCATAGAATATATATCAAGATCAAGATTTGGGTGGAACCATGTCTCAGAAACAGCAATAATATCAAAATCAAATTTCACTGAACTGAGTAGTAACTGAAAATCATCAAAATTCTTTTTTAAACTTCTTGCATTTATATGTATTAAAGACAAAGATGGTGAACATAAGCTATATTTCTTTCCAAAATCTTCACAAAACATATAATCACATTTGAGTTGAGTTACATCATAATCATTATCCAAAAATGGTGTTTCACTGAATTTGAGTTCTTTATTCATAACAAATGGATTCATTTTCAAATTTTGGAGTCTTTCAATATTAATATTTTGATTCAATTAAAAGAAACAAAAATCACAAAATCACAAATTAAATCCCCTATTAGGGAATACTGAGTTCAATAATACAAGTTCAAAGTAAAAATGTCTATTGAGAGGGTCGGGAACCTCCCAGGGAAATATTATAGTTCTGTCATCTTACTTTCTCTTTCTCTCTCTAGCTGTCTATCAGTCTATGTGAGTTTTTCTTCACGTTCTATTCATGTATAATGTGGTTACATGACATGATCAGATGATAAGGCAATTTTGTTGGCGTCTTATCGAAAATCTTTATCACCAAAAAATGATGCTTCCCGACTACGGTTGGCTCGAGATCGATAAAGACGCAGCGGGGAACATGCTTGCCAGCTCCAGAATTGATTTGTGTTAGAGAGTGAATCCTGTTTTGGCCAGTTTGCATTACGTACCACGTTTGCCAAGTGGCTCAGTAATTCATGTGCCATAATCACAGATTGGCCTAGACAAATTGGTTAGTAAATTACTAAAATAACTACAAGGATTACCTATTTTCCACCTTTATAAAACAAAAAATGACTGTTTTTTCTCGATTACCTGTATGTAGAGCTTGTATGCAAATGGCCCTTATAATATTTAAAAGGTTTGCTGAAGTCACAATTTGGGGAAAAGATTCAGCTAATCTTTTTATCTAGCCCTGACTGACTTCTTGATTTTGTTTTTGTTCCTTTCTCTTATCCATTTGCTCCACTTGATCTACCCCTTCCCCCTCTTCTCTATCTCTCAATCTCTCTCACTTCTTCTCTATATCCATGTCCCTCTTTCTCACTCTCTTCCTCTCCCCCTCCCCCCCCCTCTCTCTCTCTCTCTCTCTCTCTTTCCCTCTTCCTCCATCCCTCCATCTCCATTCTGTTTCATCAGGGAGCTGCTGCCCTTGAGCTATGGTCAATGAGTGATAAGATCTTGTTTGATAACTTCATCATCACGACCGATCGAGAGGTAGCTGACCAGTATGCTGCTGATAGCTTTGGTCTCAAGCGCAAGGAAGGAGTCGTTGCATCAGCTGTAAGTACAGAAATGTTTATATTTTATTGAAATGCATGTTATGAGTGCAATACAGTCAATAATGACAACATTTGAAAAAGAGATTTTCATTATGATTCACCTTTTAAATCCCCCTGAGATATTCATTGCAGATGTACTTTATTTGTACATTTTCTGAGCATACCATGATTATCTTTTTAATTTTTCTTATTTATATTTTTAACTCTTTATATGTAACCAAATCAAGATCAGAAATGGATAATTTTGCAATGCCATTGGGTTGCCTGTAGTGATCTTTCCGTCGATTAGTGCCTTAGGTGTGGCAAAGGAGCAAACAGAGCAGCGAAGAAACCAACCAAAGTGTATATAGCACACTCTTTATGATTTACCTCTTTGCTAACATTTAAATATTGTTTGTATCTGTTTTACAGGAGTCCTTCGTATCAGGTCTAATCGATGCTGCCACTGAGAGACCATGGCTGTGGGCTGTGTTTGCTCTCGTTGTTGTCATCCCTCTCTTCTTCTGTATAAGATTCTGCTTAAAATCGGTGAGAAAAAGTTTTGAATTCTTAGTGTTCATGTTCATGATTTAATTTGCCTAGTTATTAGTTATTTTCATTGGCACAAAATATAAAAAAGAAAGAAGGAAAAGGACAATTAATTAAAAAAATGAAAGTGATGATTATTGTTTCTGTAGTCAGTAGTGAATGTAGCTAGTTTGAGATTAATGTTATTATTGTTGTTTACATAGTATTAACATGAAGTTCTTTAATTGAAAAAACTTTCTCTTACAGTGTATGCCTTTTTATGTTGAACGTGGATATCATATAATTTTTGTATCATTACTGTGACATTAATGTGTTTTTAAGTTGCCAATATTACAGTACAGTAACAACATTTTGCTGTTTTTTATTGTTACAGAATCCAGAGGAGTATGAAGTTAAGAAGAGGGATGGAGCAACTCCAGACGATGAGAGGGAAGGAGAAGATGAGGATGAAGAAGGAGAGAAGGCTGAAGAGGAGGATGTATCAGCGGAAGGAGATGCCGTAGTGAGACAACGAAAGAAGACCACCAAGGCAGACCTAGAAGGTCCCACAGAACAGGTTAGATACCAATGACTTACTTACTGACTTAAGTGCACAGGACGGAGTGTCCCCTTGCGCTCCTACGGGTGGTCTGCCTCTATTCACTTCTGTCCTGGGCTTGGTGTTGGGCAGCCTCCAGGCTTAATCCAGAGTCTTGGCGGATTTGGTCTTTCCACCTCAGGGGAGGACGCCCTGGTGGCCGTGGCCAATAAACGCTAGCTATGTGATAATGATAAGAACAGCCACATTTGTGTAGCACATTCTATTGCTACTCTGCACATGATAGTGCACATGCTCTGCTCCTTGGGGAATATTTCGGCCAGGTGCCATTTTACAAGCGCTCACATGCCAATCCAATCACTTCAGTATTCACATCCTATATCTTTTCTACCGGTAACCATTCAACACCTGGGTGGAGAGTGGCAAATGTAGGTAAATTTCTTGGTCAAAGGACACCAGTGCCATGGTCCTAGACACAGAGGAGTACCGGTACCTGTAAGAATGGGAGCAGGATCCATAAATTTGGGGGAATTTTTTGTATAAGGATCTTGTATGTAGCATTAAAAAAGAGATCAGTATAGATTACAATCTTAATATATGGTAGAATTTGTTAGCCATCTTTACATCATTCAGTACCATCTTTAAACCATAACTGAAGAATATGTTTTCATATCTGTAAAAATCAATACAAGATTAGGTAGTGTTATTCTTCCATCTTTGAAGGAAGTTTGTACTAAGATATGATTCCAAATGTAAAAACCTCCATTTGTCTTTTTTTCTTGTATTCATTGTTGTTGTTTTCTTGTTCTTGTTCATCCATTAGGCTGAGGAGGAGGCGGCACCAGAAGAAGCACCAGCACCAAAAGAAAAAGCCACGTAAGATACTCCATTCTTGTCAAACTATCACATACACTCCCATGCTTAAAAGTGAATACCAGAAAAAGTGTTAAAGCTGACAATTAATTTTTTTTTTATTGGAACAACAATTTCAAATTGGTATAAGAAAATGTGTTTTGATAAGCCAGTTCGTAAATACTTACCGCACATGGGCAGATAAAGGTCATTTGTTCCTAATTTGTAAAACTCATCGCGATGAATACTGGTATTGTGCTCATGAAAGTTATGTAATCAGTATTCATTTATGCACCAACAGTACATTTATCGGATACATAAATGGAAGTATTCTTCTCAAGAGGCAAACAAAAGGTATTCATGAAGCACCTCCATCACTTTGGCAGTGATTATTGTAAAATGCACAAGTACATGTATCCATCGTGTAAAAGATCTGTGGATATTTTAAGGTCATGTGTACCGAAGCTATTTAGGAACTGGCTTATTGTAGATGTAGCAAACATTACACTCTCAAAAATGTGCCTCTATAACATGGTATCCTTGTTTCTCTTTCTTCACAGCACACCCAAGAAGCCTAAGACGCGCTCAAGAAAGGAATGATGACGTCCTGTTGCCTAGCAACCCGTCAGTTTGCTGAGGATAGCATCTTCTCTTCTAGCAACAGGTGTCTAGTCAGTCAGCCTTCATGATGTCAACATAAACAAAGGCAATACACAAGTTTGTTTGTAAACTCGGTCGAGTGAGTCACATAATAATAGTATTCTGGATTTATATAGCGCCTAATGCATCTACGATACCTCTAAGCGCTTTACAGATATTACTATTAACCCAGTCATCAGATAGACGCTTGCCTGCACACACTGTCCAAGGTCTAAACTGTCTCAGTGATGGTTTAGATGTTTTTCTTTTGCAGGCAATTCTAATTATCTCTTTAGTGCACAAATAATCATTAGATTTTAATGAAAAGTTTATCCAAATTAGTTACTTAACTAGTCATTTGGTGCCATTACTTTGTTTTTAAGCACAACTGCTACAGAGTTGTTGATTATTCAGTTGTGTGGTGGCATTACAAATTAGGGAAACCCCCAAAATACAGAACATCCTGTTGTAATCACCCTGTCAGTAAACAAACAAAAACAACAACAGAAGATGATATATGATTGACATCATGAATGCTGGCTACTGTTGGACTTTCATTGTAGTGTAGGGCTAGAGATAGTTAGCCAGTGGATTGTTTATATTCTGTTTTGTAGTAGCAAATATTTTCTATCAACTTTTTGTTATTTCTTTAAATTTGAGTTTGATTCCAGGAATACTTGATTGTTTCTAGCGCATTTCCATTCACACGCGATCACGTTTATTTCGCAATATGAGCTTTGTGTTCATTCTTTCTTTATTGATTTTTTCATTTTTTTGTTTGTTAAAAGGACTGTTGGTCTATTTATTAACAAACAATTCAATAGTGTATAGACTCACAACGAATCGCAGGACACATGAACCAATGATTAGTTTGATTCTGGACTATTTGCTCTTTGGTCATTAATTGCAACATTCTTTTGTTTTAAGTAGGTTCTTTGATCTACAGTAAATGAGAAATGTAAATCTGCTAGAGAACATTTACAGAGTTAATGAATTGAATATTGAAAATGTAAGGGAACTGTATAGAAAATAGTTTAGTTTCATCCCCATGACATTTGTCTCGTGTGTATAAGAGTTTCAAATTCATATGATAGATAATTAACATTCGTATTGTATTTGTACCAATTTTTGAAAATGTCAAAATTCTGTGGTGATGAATTTATTTCAGAGTTAGATAATGGATTGTTGGATGATGGATTGAATGAGAGATTTTTAAAAATATATATGTTGGGGATACACTGGCTTGTATTTGATTCCACTTGATTTTTTTCTTCTTTCATTTTTTTTCGTTGATATTTCTCCTTTTGTTTGGCGTTTCTTACAACAGATATATACAGATGATACTAGCGGTTTTAGACATATACTAGAATAAACATGTAGTTAATTACAAATCTGTTTCATTATTATTATTATAACTTTTTTAAATATTGTCAAGGAAATGAATGTTTGACTTTTAAGGTCTTATGATTTCAAGTTCTATCATTGTTGTTGTTACAGGAAATACATGCATACATCGAAAAGATGCCGATACTGCCCTATTATGTCAAGTGTTTTGGTTGTGTGTCTTTAAAAGATGAAGAGAAAACAAGATCTGCTCGACATTCATGTTTTGTATGTCAAGAAGAATTGCTTGTAACCAAGGAATAACCTCCTCGTTGTAACTAGACTATAGATATTCAACTCATGTAGCTTAGGTTGTTAGATCATTGGAACCACCCAAGCGAGGAGTTGTTGTTTTTAGGTAGAATGTTTTACTCTTTTGAAATGGATAAAATGGTGCATGAAGTTGATACATGAAATGGATACATGGATATGAGATACATGAATGTACTCGACAGTTGTGCTAAGGTGCTTACTTGCGGTTGCGGATGTTGCAGTTAGTAGGATAGATGGATATATTCTTTAATATCATGTCTAAGAATATATTCATATTGGCAAGATTATCCCCTTACCTCTATATGCCTACATAATTGAAGATGAATTTGAGATTTTCGTTTAAATGCTTCGTTTTGTAAAATAACAACTGATGGGGTTAGTTTGATAAGATTTATTTTAAGTGATATTGATGCGGTGATTGAAGTTCTAGTGTAACATTGGCTCTCATCTTGACAAAATATGTTAAACAATGCGTAATGATCTCTTTAAGCTGTAACATTGTTGGTATTTGTAATGATTTACTTTCTTGGACACGTTTCAGTTTCGGGTTGGTCTTAAATGAGGTAGCATGTTTGCTTTCGGGTGTCAGTCTCTCAAGCCAAATTTTTGTGACTCAAAACTGCTAAAAAAATTGGGTGTATGTTTGTTAGTTTTTAAGATGTTGACAGGAGTAGAACTTGGGTAGATTTCCTTCAAAGTTGTAGATTCCATATCGGGTTGTCCAATCGTATGAGTAATTTATGGTGTCTTTGCATTCTTGGTTGGTGATGGTGATAATGTATTCGTTCACGTGGAGCATAAAGACTCTTTTTCTCCTTGATGCTGCATGTTGAAGAGTGTCGTTTGGAAAAGACATGGGGAAACAGAAAATGGTGATAAAGTGTTTGAGAATGGTTCAAAGTATTATGATTCGACAAAGCGCACAATATATTTTCAGAGCTATAGTTGCATTGGTGTATTGTGTTTCTTTCTGGACCACTGAGCATGTTGCTCCAATACAAATCAAGAGGTCTGAGAATCATCAACCTGAATTATACATGTCTTAACAGTTATAGGAGTAGGAAATAAAATGTTACTGTTGACAAGTAATTATATAATGGGTGTAATATTTGATATTTCATTGGTTCATTCATGAGAATTTCTTGTTCTGACATAATATCATCTGTTGAGAGCCAGAAGGGCATTAACTCTGCATTAGACGTGAAGAGTTAGCACCCTTCTGCCTCTAATCACACACGATATTATAGTTCGTTTCATCGTAAAGTGTTATTTGCATCTATGAAAACCTTTTCAAAGCCAAAATGAATGTCAATATTTATATATATGTTGGTTGTTGTATTTCATCCCAGAAGTGGAAGGGAAAAATAATTCCTGTTTACTATGCACTTGTTGAGCTTAAAATCAATAATTAGATTCCATGGTGGGTGAATATTGTTTGTTATCCATGAAAGAAAATGTACATGTGATTAAATATTCAATTGAGGTTGAATCTTTTCCCCTTAAGCATACTGTCTACATTGTAATATTATCTGTTGAATTTTAGTTGTTTTGAATTATGTGTTCATTTTGTTATGCCTCCGCCACCGAAGGTGGTGCCGGAGGCATCATGTTTTCGGGTTGTCCGTCCGTACGTCCGTCCGTCCGTCCCGTTTGACCGTTATCACAATATCTCAAGAACCATTTAAGATTTAAACTTAAGACTCGGGAATAGTATTTATCACCATAGGAAGACGATCTGATTAGATTTTGGAGTACGTAGGTCAAAGGTCACAGGTCACAGAGGTCAACTTATGAAATTCCTTGTATTGAGTTTGTTAGCGCGATATCTCAAGAACCATTTGAGATTTAAACTTCAAACTTAAGGATAGTATGTATCACCATAGGAAGACGATCTGATTAGATTTTGGAGCACGTATGTCAAAGGTCAAGGGTCACAGAGGTCAACTTATGAAATTCCATACATTGAGATTGTTATCATGATATCTCAAGAACCACTGGAGATTTAAACTTCAAACTTAGTGATAGTGTGTATTACTATAGGAAAACAATCTGATTACATTTTGGAGCACGTAGGTCAAAGGTCAAGGGTCATAGAGGTCAACTTATGAAATTCCATACATTGAGATTGTTATCATGATATCTCAAGAACCACTGGAGATGTAAAAACTTCAAACTTAAGGATAGTATGTATCACCATAGGAAGACGATCTGTTTAGATTTTGGAGCACGTAGGTCAAAGGTCAAGGGTCACAGAGGTCAACTTATGAAATTCCATACATTGAGATGGTTATCATAATATCTCAAGAACCACTGGAGATTTAAACTTCAAACTTAATGATAGTGTGTATCACCATAGGAAGACAATCTGATTAGATTTTGGAGCACGTAGGTCAAAGGTCAAGGGTCACAGAGGTCAACTTATGAAATTCCATACATTGAGATCGTTATCGCGATATCTCAAGAACCACTGGAGAATTTTCACTTCAAACTTAATGATAGTATGTACAGTATCACCATATCATAATATCTCAAGAACCACTGGAGATTTAAACTTCAAACTTAATGATAGTGTGTATCACCATAGGAAGACAATCTGATTAGATTTTGGAGCACGTAGGTCAAAGGTCAAGGGTCACAGAGGTCAACTTATGAAATTCCATACATTGAGATTGTTATCATGATATCTCAAGAACCACTGGAGATTTAAACTCCAAACTTGTTTAAATTGCTCTATGGCGGAGGCATCATTTTCGACTGCGCGCAGTCAAAATTCCATCTAGTTTATATATGAATGTTGCTGTCTATTTCGAGAAAAGGAAGTGGGTATACAAATTTTGTAAGAGAGAGATGTGGAGAGAGGGGGGGGGGGTGGGGGGGGGGGTATTGGAAGATAATTAGATAGAGAGAGAGAGAAAGACAGACATATAGACAGAGAGAGAGGGGGATACCAAAAAACAGAACTCGGTTGAGGGAGGCGTGTAGTAAATGGAGGTGAGGAGAGGGAGGTGACAAAAATATATTTGAGTAAAAAAAGGGGGTTAAAATACAAGAATATAAATTGAAAGAAGACTTTCTGGTGCACTTGAGATGCCATCCGTTGTGTTTCCCATTAATTTAATCTACACATCTAGACTATTTTACACAATAATTACAACAGCAACAAAAGAATAATGGTTAAACTCCCTACGAACAATATTAATCCGCGCCAATTTTAGTTAATGGGCATCTCACACTTCAGGCTCTCTGATTGTTGCCGCTAAACAAACCGGCTCATGTTTGCCATGTGGTCAAATGACAAGCACTCGAACGCCTTGAAGCTACCCGACAATTCAATATTTATCATTCATTTTGACTCATTTTCAGCGATTTTTTTTTCCAACTGCATAGTCCGGGCGTCCAAAGATAATCAGGCTTTGTAATCATCAGTCGGTCAGTTTAGTTTGTTATCGGAGTTTGAACTTCAGGTATGGCCTTTTTCGCTATCGACCCGAGATCTCGAAACTCTGAAGTTTGGAGGCGAACGGGCTTCATTTCTCACTATCTTTGTTCTATTGTGATTGACACGAGATTAGACATGTAACACGCAGCTTAGAGATGTTAGGAATATTTCCATCGATAACGTCATGGTCAAGTATAAAGTACAAGGCTACAGTTATAACGAATGGGCGGGTCGTACCTATTTATTTTAGGGGCAGGTTTTTAGAAGAGGTCTGTTTTAAAACATAAAAGAAGTCGTTATCATGAAACTGACTAGGGGTATGTTTTTTTGTAAACAGGCTCCATTTATATCTCTACCTTCCCCCCCCCTCTCTCTCTTTCTCTCTCTCTCTCTCTCTCTCTCTGACATCGTTAAGTTACCTGAAAATCAAGCAGAAAAAACATAATCAAATCACTTCAATATCCTTCCGTATTCATCTTTGCTTCAAACAATACATAATAATTATTGTCTAGCTCATAAAGCTCTTAGTAGCAAAATACTTTTTTTTATAAACTACTTCAGATGTATATCATGTAAATCAAGGATCTGCTTGTTAATTTAACTTGTCTTATCATTATGACACTAGCGCCCTCTCATTATTTTACTTCTTCCTTCTTTTGCCTTCTCTCTCTCTCTCTCTCTCTCTCTCTCTCTCTCTCTCTCTGTATTTCCCTCTCTCACTCTCTCACCCTCCACAACACAAATATTCAGTATTATGTTCAATCACCCACACAGTCGAGTCGATAATGACCTTTATATTCCAAACTAACCAATCAGCGTTAAGAATCCTTGTGATGTCACGCTTTTTCGCCTGATGTGTCATGGGGTGATCGAGCTTTACGTTTTATATTTGAAACATTTTGAAAGGAAGAAATAGTCAGTTAACTCAGTTTTACTTGCTGACAGTTGACGCTACTAAAGATGAACAAAAAGGTAAAATAGAATCGGACTGTCATGCTTTCATTCGCCTTCTAACTAGATTTTTTTCGGTGGTTTATAGAATAACCAAAAAATGACGTTGCCTATATCAAAATTAATTTTCAAGTGCGGAAGAAACAGCTGAATAAAATCGACTTTTAATGCCCCTAATTTAGGTTTTGTTGTATGTTGACAAAACAAACTTATGTCTTGATATAATTTAGATTGTATGTATTGCAGGGTCGTTAACAATTTTTCTCTATATCTCTCACACGGCCTCGTAAAGTTAAAGACTTCCAAATCGAGGTAATTATCTCCGCGCGAATTACGTCTACTTTGTAGCGATGTTCGCCCGGCGGACCATTCGAACACTCAAAATGTAGCTCGATTAACACTCATTAGTGGCTAATGACCTGCCGATATGTGAGAAAATCTATTTGCACAGACTTGCAAAAACATCCAAGCACCAAAGACAGTATCACAAGTATACAAATCTACTGTACTTTTTAACAATCTGTACAGCTATTAGCAATATATACCACCGTTATAAACGATATATTTTCTAAACCTAATTTAGTATGTGTGTTGCAAATGGATGCTTACGGATAGATCTCAGTTTGGAATTCATTAAAACCGTTCTTAAATTGCACAACGTATATTGGTAAGTGATTGCCGTACCTCAGAGTTGTCAATTTGTATTGTTTCAAAATCATTTTTTCATAACTATTTAACCACTGGTAATTATTTTAAATATTTCAGTTCTGAGGCAAACTAAAAAATTAAAAAGTATATAAAACTTTCTTTAAAAAAAACACTGTATTCCATTTTAACGTAAAGCTGTTAAATGAAACCAGAAAGTTTTGAGTAGAAAGACGGAGCGACGTTGACGAAAGCAAGGACATTTGAACCAAAATTTTAGAAACAGGATAAACATAGAGAATCTTTTAAAATTATTCGGCATCACGATCACGTGACATTATTAAAGACAATAAGATGTGCGACATAAAGAGGTGAAAATGTTTCGAAGAATAAAGACCCATATGGATTTCAGAGAGACCTTTCTCATTGATTTGTTCATTACTTTATCTGAATATATCATCACTGCAAGCAAGCATACAAATTTTGAAGTGAAATATATCACAACAAAATTATTTGTACTTTTGAAAGAAATCAGAAAGGAACATTGTCAATTAATATCATAAGGATGTTCACTACTATATAATATAATTTGCATGGGATATAGGGTACTGAGTGAGAAAGAGCTAGAGGTGGTGGTGGTGGAGAGAGAGAGAGAGAGAGAGAGAGAGTTAGAGATAGGATGAAACCAGGAGAGAAAGAGATAAAGAAATACAAAGGGGGTAACGGACAAACCGCGGGATTAGGAGGAGCAGGAGGCTATAGATGCTTTAAAGAGGAAAACAAAACAAAAAGAAAACTAAACGATGATATGTCAAATTTTTAAATAATTTATTCAAATCGCTCAACAAAAGTAGACCATGGAAAACAAAATTAAAGTCGTGATGGAAAATTTTGACCTTTGATTAGGAAATGTTTTTACAAATTACAAATTCATCACCGAGGGGGTCCCAAGATTACAATCTCTATTTTCATTATCAAGAATGATAAAGTTCTTTCGACAATTATCGAACGATTATTCTTAATGAGTTGTTTAAACTTTACAATGGGCAAAAATAATGGATTCTTTTGTCACTTAATATCTGGAAAAAGACGAATACAATTGGGGGAAAAGAATGACCCCATCATAAGTATGATATCTTATCTTTTAAAAGTGACAAACTCTTTGACTCTATTCGTTGCTATTATAAATGTCCTGCACTTGCGCAGTCTTTCCTTTATCATCATATCATGTACACTATTTTAATTATCCTTGTAACAAACTTGCTCAGTTTTTATTCTCAATCTTTTCTACATTTTACTTAAAAATTTATATAAGAAATTATGAAGTCCGTAGAATCTGCTTGACCAGACATTCTATCAAAATCGTTTGAATTAAAGTACGCTGCCCTAAAAATTGAAAAAGAAAACAAATCGGCGTTGTGAAGATATTGCTTTCTTCATATTAATATGTAAAGAAAAAGACAGACAG